GCCGCGGTCTGAATGCCCTGCTGTCTCATAACTCACTGATACTCATAAGGTGCCTGTAACTGGATCACAGTTCAGTTTCTATACATCACAACATTACCAGGATATCGACAGCTCACTGCTGTTAGCCTCTATTCACTGTAAGCAAATGAGGGTTTACTGGCTGGACTAGCACTGAATGGTAGCCTACATTTGCTAAATAAGCTAACAGACACTGACTGTTAGACTCCTATGCTTTATAACAGTGTAATAATGTACCAAACTATTAAAATCTAGTGTATAAACCAAAGAGAATGTTTTTTTTGTTAAGAAATATCATAACAAAGGGGAAAATTCCTCTGCTAGTAGGTCAGCATTGTCCCACTGTGATGAGGTCATGGCTGTGCTGGTGTGGAAAGGTTTCTCTTTCAGGTAACTGTCACGCTGTAGTAAAGGTTAAATTAGATCTTTAGTCTTAGTGGAAAAGAGAGAGAGTAATCATCTGATACCACAACACAAATATTATCTTACTAGTGGAGGATTTTGTCTCTTTTAATAATAAATACAGTTACATGTTTAGTTTATACAACATATTTCAGCTGTGCTGGACTTGGACTCCATACTGAGGCCTACATTTCTGAACAGTCAGGTTCCCTTTATAAACACACATAAAGAGCCGAGCTCTCTGTTCTAAACTCACAGATAAAAGGATGCAGTGGCTGTTTAGCAGTTCAGGCTCTTATTAGACTGGAACAGTTATTAAGAATAACTACATTGAGTATTTAATTAGAAATAAGCTGAAGTAAAAACAGCTTCATTAATTTAGTAACACTATTAAAAGTGACTCTTCATGCTAATCCTAGAAGTGATCTGAACAGTAATAACCTGATGTTCACTAAACTCAGGCTCACTTTTTTAACCGTGTCAGTGTGCAGTTCGGGAAGCAGGTTCAGTTTGTAGCACCACAGCGCCCCCTGCTGCACATTACTCTTCATTAAACTGTTTAAAATCTTGTATTACATGATGTAATATTGCGTGCAACAGGTGACTTTTCACAGTTTGCTAATTTTTTCCTGCCTTTAGTGTTCTAGCAGTTTTACTTCTTAAGAAATAAATCCTGTTTATGGGTTAATTATTCCAGATTCCTTCAGTAAAACATATTGATCACTGACTGGAGAGAATGGATGAGTAAAGACAAGAACATCTGTACTGAACTGTAGTATATAACTATGATTATACAGTATTAATCTTCAATCACCCTCTTCTTCTATAAGATAACAGCGTTTTAATATTTGGTCCAACAGAACAATCATACTAATGTTTTAAAAGATGTTTATGATGAATATTTATGAAGATTTCATATTTACTGTAACCGTAAAGCTCAGATAAATCTCCTATAAAATCTCTTCTAGGATATATAACAGCAGCAGTAACTGACCTCCTTCACTCTGAGTCTGATGGTGAAGATCTTCATCAGCAGGAATCTGAGTTTATGTTCATTATTCCACCACTGTTCCTCCTCATCTTCTCCACATGTTCTCTCCTCATCTTCACCTCCAGATACAGCAGACTCCTCCCCCATATTCACCTCTATAGTAATAATAGTATAATAATAATAGTCTTTACAGAGTAGCTTGTCTGTACAGTCTGTGGTCTATGGGTGTAACTGACAGAGAGCTGTTTACATTTGAATTTGACATTTGAAAACAGGCCACCTGCAGGAGGAACAGAGAACTGCAGCTGCAGAGCCCAGACACATTACATGGGTGTTTGCTTGTTTCTGATTGGTCTAACTCATCTACAGGCAGTTCAGTAGCTCTGTGTCATTAGGTTTCTTAAAGCTGAAGACAGTGTTGTTGATAATGTGTTATAATCGTAGTGTAATACTTTATCAATTTCAATACAAGATCAGTTAATCTTTCAGCTCATAAAGCTGTACAGTATCAGGATCAATACTGTCAGCAGAGCCTACCTGAATATCTGAGTGGGCTCCTGTGTTCTGCAGGTTCTGTCCACATTCGGTCAAACTGGTCAGCTCTGATTAATGAAAATAATGAGATGGTCACTGCTGTCTTTCTCATTTCTGCTCTTCTTTGGACAATAGGAGGGTTCAGTGGTACCACTGACCCGTCCAGACCCGTCCATCTTGTACTTCGGCCATCGTCCCATTTCAAATGAAATATTGTCAAATATGTTATTTTCTTTTTCTTAATATCGTGTTTTGCTTTTTTTTTAAATATATTTTTCTTCTGTTTTCTGTTTTTCTGTCAGGTTGGTTTTTATTTGCATCTTTGTTTGTACTTTGAGATGCAGTTTAATGAGTGATGCTAAATAAATAAATAAATAACTATCATCATTATTCAGTTGTTATTGATCATTCATGTAATAGGTCATAAATGTCAATTATATATATTGACATGAAGGTTATTTATTTTGGCTACAGTGATGATGGTTTAAACTGCCTGAGCCTCTAAAAGGCTCAACATGCTTCTAAATACAGTAAACACATCAGAAAATACATCACAGATTTACACACATATTTATTATAAACATCTACTGTAGAGCAGAGATTGTGAGAGTGACCCTCACAGTGTCCGGTACAGTCCACTCTGTAGTTGTATTACAGCTCCTAACATGTTATTGTGTCACAGGTTTGGCACCATTTGCTAAAAAAGAGCAGATAAAGTGGTACAGAATGTGCTGCAGTTTGGACACACCAAGTTCAATCAGACAAGCAGATATTATTACAGAACAGAACAGATCTTCATTCACTGATAATCATTCACTGATTTCTGTTACAGTTTAGCTTTAAAAATACACCTAAACAGACAAAATGTTTCATAATATTTCCTTTCTCTCCTCTCCTGGTCAGTACTGATGGTGTGTGTGTGTGTCTGTAGGTCAGTTCTGTTCTCTCTTTCTCTCTTCTCTCTCTCCTCTCCTGGTCAGTACTGATGGTGTGTGTGTGTCTGTAGGTCAGTTCTGTTCTCTCTTTCTTCTCTCTCTCCTCTCCTGTCATACTGATGGGGTGGTGTCTGTAGTCAGTTCTGTCTCTCTTCTCTCTCTCCTCTCCTGGTCAGTACTGATGGTGTGTGTGTGTCTGTAGGTCAGTTCTGTTCTCTCTTTCTCTCTTCTCTCTCTCATCTCCTGGTCAGTACTGATGGTGTGTGTGTCTGTAGGTCAGTTCTGTTCTCTCTTTCTCTCTTCTCTCTCTCCTCTCCTGGTCAGTACTGATGGTGTGTGTAGGTCAGTTCTGTTCTCTCTTTCTCTCTTCTCTCTCTCCTCTCCTGGTCAGTACTGATGGTGTGTGTGTAGGTCAGTTCTGTTCTCTCTCTCTCTCTCTCTTCTCTCTCTCTCCTCTCCTGGTCAGTTCTGATGGTGTGTGTGTGTCTGTAGGTCAGTCATGCAGTCCTGCAGTTCTGCTCTCTGTATCCCGATCTTAGTGATCACTACATTCACTACAGGTAAATCCTGCACTGTCACTTCTTTATATTTACCTCTCAATTTCTGTATTTTATCTTCACTTTTGAACCACAGTTTCTGTAAACAATAGCATTAAGCAGTGATTTAGTACTCAAGACTATGAACTTTCCATAACTGTAAACTGTCCATGGCTGGACTGGCCATCTGGCAGACTTTGCACATTCCTGGCAAGCCGTTGTACATTTTGGGCTGAGATAGTTGTGTTATTATTTAGTTATTTTTTTTTGTCTGAATGGCCAATAAAACAGGTAGCTTGGCCCATTGGCCTTAAACACCTCCCACAACACAGCTTAGTGTTGGCTTCATTAAGCAGCACATCTGCAAAAAAAGAGTAAAACCGGATGACAAAATGTGAGGCAGGCGCTGACTAATTATGCGTCAGGGTGAGAGTGGACGGAGTGTAGAACTTGCGGTAAACAGAAGCTAACAGTGGGCTGGCTGCTTGGCTCAACAGAAAGTAATGAGAGATGATGATAATTAGGATTACTGCTACTCTGTGGTTCAGGAATCCATTCAGATCTTCATGATAAAATCAAACAAAAAAGTACTAGTGGTGAACAAACTACCTGGTGTTTGCAAAGTTATGTTGATAACATAATAAAAAATACTGCATGCTTTGCCATAACATTACTTAAATTTGGCTAGTTTTCTACTTTTATAACTGCAGATTCTTTTGGAACTGCTAGTTTTGTAACGTGGCTCTCAGACATTGTTGTATTAAAAGAACATCATTATTTTGTAAACCACCAGTCCTCAACATTAGTCAGCTAGCAGGGTGGGCAGTGCTCTTTGGGACCAGAAAAGAAAACATGTTTGGGAGCCAACGTTTGTGTGGGTGTCGATGGACAACACATAGAAATGAAATTGAGACATCCCTGCATTTAGTTGTTTTATTAAACAACAGTTTGTCCAATCTCACCCAATGTTTAGCTCACCAAGGCAACCATTAAAGGAATCAAGCCATTATTACACAGCTTTAGTGTTTTTAAGGAATAGCACAGTTAGTATACATATTCAGGGGAGCGTGAAGATGGGTTGTGTGTGTGATCGATTGTGGTGGGCCGGTCTGGACCAAAACGCCAGGGCTGATTTTTTATCCCAGTCCAGCCCTGTCTCAGTCATGTCTCGGTCTCGAGCTCATATGGACTTGGTCGCATCTCGAGGTGAGGTGGTGTAATTAACTATTAAAAACACACTTAATTGCTGCAGAGGGGGTCTGTTTACAGCTGCTCTATGACAGTGGAGTAAACAAAGCACAATGTAAAATAGACTAAACACATGATCTGAATTAGATCATGTTAAACATCTGATCGAGATGCATTAAAATAGATCTGGGTTTTTTAGGGTCAGGGCAGTTTTAAAGAACGGACAGTTTTTTAGGGTCTATTCAGTTTTAAAGAATGGACAGATGATTTTAACATTTAAATTCTGTAATTTTACAGTGACATTTAACATGTTATAGTGGCAATTTCTCATTTGATATTTCTTTTTATCTTATTCTCTGTTTTAGTGTCTCAATCAGTCAATCCTCCAGTGAAGGTGAATCTTCATGACTCTGCCCTGCTCTGAGAGATGTTCTGGTTTGGTCAGATGGACTGTGTTCCATAAACCCACTGATGTTCTGGCTGAGTGTGATCATACTTCATGTAGATCAAAGGAGGGATATCAGATGATCCGTGATCAGTACCTGAAGGGGAATCTCTCTCTCATCATCACTGAAGCTGATCTCACTAAGAGATCCTGGTACACATGTGACTGTGATGGTAAAGACGTCTGTGATGTGACTCTACAGATTGAGCGTAAGTGTCCATCTGTTCTCTTCACTGATCATTACTGACAAACTACAATGATTTGGGTTTAATACTTAGTAGATGTAGTGCTTAGTAGATTTACACTATTCTGGATTGTTTTTTTTCCTCAGCTTTAAATAATACTGTTCAGATAAAGCCTGGGGATTCTCTGGTCCTGGATTTGGAGATACCAGAAGAAGTGGAGGTGATTTATAAAAGCACAGATGCAGCTGGACAATCCAGTGGTCAGATCTGTATAGTGCCTGGCCGCTCACTACAGTGTAAACCTCAATACATACAGAGAGCATCTCTAATATCTGCTCTAGAGCTGAGAGGAGTGACCCCATCTGATAGTGGAGTTTATACTGTAATGGACAAATTGAATCAAGAAGTGATTCACACCTACACAGTGACCGTGGAGTCAGCAGGGGGAAGAGATAAAGTGAAGGGTATGTGTTTACATGATTTCTGTCTGTCCAATCAGAGTTCACTGATCAGGAATCTGCTGCTGAGCTTTAATGATGGTGTTCAGTTAAACTCACTGTATTACAATCCTGTGTGTGTTTTGTAGATGACCATCCAGATCTGGACACAGATAAAGGAGCTGCTGTTCCAGTGTGGGTTTTTGCACTGGTGGTCGCTGTACTTGTAGCTGTGATTGTGGTGTTAGTGGTGCTGATTGTGCGGCTGAGGAGAGAAATTCAGCAGCTCCGGATGAAAGAAAGAAAAGAACAGTTTTAATGAATGGTCACTGAAAACAAGAGACTGCACAGTATTGACCAGGAAGCCAAAGCGATCATCACTAATCATCAATTACCTTTAGCTGATCCATAAAATGCATTATTACTAATATTATTGTTGTTAGCATTAATATCCAGCCTGCTTGGCAAAGTGGCAGCTCAACTGTAAATATGAAAACTGTCAATATCAAAACTTCTTAGTAATCCTAAAGATATGTGACTTAATTATCATTACCCAAAGTCAGATTTGCAACATTTTCAAATGGCCCGGTCACCCACACCAGCTTACTTTCTTTTTTTATTTAGTAGATTTTTTATTATTTATTTTTTTATCAGGGTTTGTATTGTGAATTGATGTAAGTAACTTTGACTTTTCCGTTCCACTTTAAATGATGTAGCAGTTACACTGTGGTGCCTGAACATGTGCCAGAATGAAACTGCTGCACCATTTAAGGTGGAAAAGAATATTTGAATATTTGAATAAGTTTTTATTTCTCTTGTACTTTAACTTATGTCTAGATTTATTTCTATTTTCCTGCATAGTATATGTAAGTTTATGTGCAATAATATGTCTTTCTTTAAAGTTCTATCTATCTTTCTATCTATCTGTCTATCTTTCTATCCATCTTGGCTGCTAATATAGGAAGCAGTAAAATAGGCAGTAAGACAAACACAGCCAAAGGCTTCCTTTTCCTTTTTATGACTCCAAGAGAAGTTTATCTTTTTTAGTTAAAGAACTGAATTCTTCATTTTCAGTTAGTTAGTTAGCTAACATAGCTAATGCTAGCTAGCTAACTAAATCTAACGAGGCTAGTCACAGAATGAATTAAACTCACCGACCTGTCTTCCCTTCAGCTTGTTAAAGTCTTCTCCAATCGCAGTTTGCCTCTTTAAATCGTCACACGCACAAAGCTTATTTATAATAAGAATTTAATTCGGATTATTCAGTATTTAGTGGTTTACATTTGCTATTTTTCCTCAGTTTCTCTCTCCTCAGATTAGCGGTTAAATCCAGAATCTTTCTGCTTTTATTAAACTATTTTAATGCTATTTATTTACAGTGTTTTGCATTGAAATTGTAGTAGTGATATTGAAGACACAATTAGAACTAATGTCATAGCAACTGTAACGCTGCATTTGCAAATCAGACACATGCGGATAAAAATGAATCCGGAAGATTTATTCAAACGGAGATAAACAGGGTTAACACCAGACCAGGTCAACAACCAGAGTAGCAAGACAAAATAGGAGTGGGCGAAGGCGCAGTCGAAAAAACAGGTGAGGGTTTTAACCAGAGAAAACAACAAAGCCAAAAAAGGAGCGAGAATCGGAAACAGGAAAAAACAAAGTGAGGTCAAACACAGAACAGTAATCAGAAAAACAAACGGCTTGGCATGACCTGACTGAACAATGGCAATACTTCAAAGCCATGAATCAAACAGACTAGTATATATACAGAGTTCAACAGGTGGTGGTGATTAGAGTTCAGGTGACTGTGATCTGCTGAGTGGTTTGTGATTGGTTGAAGAAGTCTTATGACTGACAGAGGGATTCTGGGAAATGGAGTCCTTAGTGGTATGAGTGTCCGACTGAGAACCAGGAAGCGTGACAGCAACATTCAACTGACTTTAAAATACCAACATTGAGGACAAGGTGATACCTGAATGTCACAGAAAAACTGAAGTACACACAATTTGAGAAATAATGATTAAAATTTGAGCGAGTAAAGTTCAGTGAATGGTACTGGAGTGACAGCAGAATCTACCCAAAGAGCAAATGAGTCAGGGCCTAGATCTGGTCCACGCTTACTACTTTCATCCGGCCCACAGACCGCCGGAATGACGCCAATGACTTCTTCCAGATCCGGGTACCGGGACACAGGCAGCAATTAATCCAAAGTACTCCATAACTTAGATATGATATGGACAAGAATTCAGCCAGACCACAGCCACAACTCAGCCTTCATTAAAACATGTTTTAAATGTCATCCAACAGAAATGTTGTGGGAGGACCTGAGGTGTTAAGTGTGTGCAAGAAACCCAACCATCACTGAGCTATAGCAATTCTATGTGAAGGAGTGGGGCACAATTTCTCCAAGCCCATGAAAGACTGATCAGTCGCTAAAGGAAACCTTTGGTTGTCACTGCTGTTTGCTGTTTTTGGTGGGTCACACCAGTTACTGAAAGCAAACGTGTACTTTGTTCAATTAATAAAAGAAGGTACATAATGTCACGTTCTTTGTTTTATTGGTCTTTCTTAATAATTTTGATCACAATCTAATTACTTTTTAAGTAAAAAAACACACCTGTTACCTACTACATTTTGTCTTGCTCTTATATTGCTGTTATGCTTGAGCTACATCTCGGTCTTGAAGTGAGCAGCATCTGGTCTTGGTCTTGAAGTGAGCAGCATCTGATGTTGTTTGATGCTCTCAAAGAGCATCAAAATAAGTAGTGCAGCCCTGAGTCTTAAATATATACATAATCACCAACAGAGCTCTGTCTAAGAATGATGGAATACACAGGTCCATGCTTACAAGTGCAAGGTATACCTTCACTGCTTCTTCCTATCCGGTGCCGAGCTGGGCCTGTCGACAAGCCCTATAATTAGAAAACAGATTGACATTAGTAATCCAGTACGTCTAAAACACACTCTCAACTGGTATTCTAAGCTTCTCTGTTTGATTAAAGCTTCTTAATAACACAATAAAACACTGCAAAATCATTCAAAACAAGTTTGTCAATTTCCCTCCAAAACTTTAGTGTAACTCAACATGTATTTAGATATTTTTACATATTCAATTCACACCAACAGCATTCTCAAAAACACATCATCTTAACCATTAGCTACAGAGGAAAAACGCAGTTTGCAAAGCATTTCTAGTTTAAGCTGCTGATTTTAATTGAGTTGAAAGTGAATTAATGTTATTAGAGATAGATTATTAGAGAGTTTTTGTAATACTGAATGTAGCTTAACTAGTTGGCTACAGTTAGCTAGCTAGTAACTTATTTGCCAGTACAAACTCAATTCCAAAAAAATGTACTTTGACTTGTTTTTGAATGAAAACAAGATGAATGCAAGATATTTAAGGTTTGCCTCACTAATTTCATTTTTTTTAAGTAAACATATATTCATTCTGAAATCGATGCCTGCAACACGTTCCAAAAAAGTTAGGACGGTAGCATTTTAAATCTAGGAACATTGTGAAACGTTCAAAAACGTGTTAAACTAGTGATCTAATCATGCCTGCTCTATGTTTGGTTTCTATTTCCCACAGCTTTGAAACACCTTGATGCTAAGACAGCTCGGGGAGACACTGACACTAAAGCATAAATAAATGACGAAAGTAACTTTTGGTTAAAATAGTTTGTTCACCCTGTTAGTACTGTAAAAGATGACGAGTTGGACATGTTTCTGGGCCATTTTCTCACTCTTCCTGAACCAAGCTGCGTCCATGTACAGTCAGTGGTCAAATCTATGTTGCTAATGTTTACATGGGCTGAGTAGAAGAATTAAACCTGGTGGACATTTTTTCTCATCCAGAAAGAAGCACAGTGAGTGTAGATCTGTTGAGGGATGTGGTGTTGAACAGAAAGACCTGCTCATTTTGGAGAAGCTACCAGACATGCCAACACATTAACCGTACTGAGGCCGAAGAAAGATTTTTGAGGGAGGCTGTAAACCGGTGGCCCTCCATCGTTGCTCTGTTAAACCGTGCAGGTGGAAGTTTGATAACACTACTATTTCCACCTGGATGTGATGATGCAGTGACTGAGAGAAAGGTCTATTCAGAGTTTCTCTGGTTTAATAAAATAAACAAAGACATGAGGCTAAATAATAATCATAATAATAATAATGAGTGTCATTTGAATTTACCTGAAACAAAAGGGTAATTACCTTGAAACAAATATTAGATTGATATAACTCAGCATGGAGTACATAATAAGAGGCACTAAAACATGTAATCCCTGTGTCTAAATAACTTACTTTTATTCATTTAGCAGATTTATTTAGCATTTATCCAAAGCAGCGTAAAATGAAGTAGATCAACCAAGCATACAACATACTGTATGTACACATGGTGGGCCTATTTGAGACAAAGTTTTAGTCCCAGTCTGTCCCTGGGCAACATCGTAGTTCTTCAGCTACTTTTTGCTACAGTTCAGCTTGTTATAATCAGTAACGAGTAACGAACTGAGTAATGATCTGATATATTCAAAGCACACACAAGGTCAAAAATGACTTTTATGTGTTATAAAATAAATGTACAGTGTTTGTTACTGCAAGACAGCTGAGGACACTTGGACTGACAGTACTGACCCGTTTAAAAAACCCTCCCCAGTGTGCATACATAAGCCATTGCAGCAGGGATATTCAGTATAATAATAATAATTTAATACACACACACACACACACACACACACACACATCAACTAAACCGCTTATCCTTCTGGGTCGCGATGGGTTACTGGAGCCTATTCCAGCTGTCAGGTCGCCAGCCCATCGCAGGGCAGACAGACAGACTGACAGATATACACACACAATCACGCACACATTCATACCTAGGGGCAATTTAGCATGGCCAATTGGCCTGACTGCATATCGTTGGACTGCGGGAGGAAAACGGAGTACCCGGAGGAAACCCACGCAGACACGGGGAGAACACGCAAACTCCACACAGAGAGGACCCTGGTCACCCGGCCGGGAATCGAACCCCACCGTGCACCATGCACCACCGTGCCGCCCAATAATTTAATAATAATAAATAAATAATAATAAGGACAATAACAGTAGTAATAATAACAATAATAATAACAATCTATAAATCACATTTCTTCTTCGAGACAATAGCTCTTCTGTGACATTTGACATTGTTCTACAACAGCACCATCTGCTGGCCTACAAAACTACTCACATTACAGGAAAGTCAGTACAGTGAAGGGGTGGGAACTGAAGACTGTAGTACAGCACTATGAGGGGATTTCTCTTTTCTAGCTCATCACCTAAACCTAGTAATATACAGATGAACTGAATCAGGTGTACCTGAGCTCTGTACCTCCAGAACCAGAGTTCACCACCCCTGTTACAGTGGAACACGCTCCCTGAGTTATTTAAATAAAAAAAAGTGCTTTTTATAACTTTTTATTAAAAAAAAATAACAACACCAACAATATTTTGCTAAAAATCTACTGTTACAGTTCTGAATTACTTGCATTGGTTAATTGGGAACTCCAGTCATGCTGCTTTAGTTCAACAAATTTAGTAAACAGTAGAGCAGATTTAAAAATAAAAGTTTGCTTAAGTACCTGTAAATTGTGTCCCAACAACCTTGAATATAAGTGTAAAAAGTCCTTTTTTTTGTTTAAAAAAAACAGAAGTTTGTCTCTGATAAACAAATTCTGATCCACTTTCTCTCTCCTACTGTTCCTCTGCCTCGCTCTCCCCGTATGCATTAGCTACACACACACACACACACACACACACTAGATCCAGTTACAGTGTGACTACAGTGTGACTGTGGTCTGGCAGCTCCAGTAAGTTGCGCAGATGAGGATTTTTTTTTAACACTCAGCACATTTTAACACTTTTCAACACATTACAGTCATTATCAGCAGGCCTCATTTCTGCTGCACTGAATCTCAGATCGCTCTTTATGCTGTTCTTGTAGCTGTCTGTTGTCTGTTTTATCTAGCAAGCTAAGGTTGCAGGTTGTCAATCAACCACTGTCCACTGCAGGGCGACCAGAACCACAGTGGGGAGCAGGCTTTTGACCCACCACTTTTCAAAGTACTGGGCGACGCCCCACCACTTTTTGAGTTCAGGACCCGACAGGAAAATCTCCGCTTTCTCTAAACTGCATGAAGCGCTGACCAGCATGAACAATTTTTTCCTTTGTTCGGGTTTAACATCCGACTCCCGAATTCAGGCAGCACCAAATAACTGAACCGCGCTAATTCAGGAAAGAATCCAAAACGTTTTTTCCAGAGCACATTTTCACTGTACTGTCTGCTGATTTAACATTTCACTCTTTACAAACGATCATATCGTTCCTGCACTGCGAGCTGCTGGAAGTAACGAGAGACAAGCAATAAAATAATGACATGCGTCAGATTTTGGTACACGGACCGTGGGGCATATTTTTTGAACGCACTGTAGTTCAGACTGTAGGTGGTACTGGTGCTGACCACACCTGGTTCAAAGAGGAATAAAATGCTTCCAGCAGGCTTTATTGCTGTTATTAACAGTGACAGATGCTATTATAAGCGTGTGTGAGTGCAGGTACTCATTGATTGTGTGGATGATGGAGGTTAACCAGTTAATCCAGCAATACAACATGGAACATTTTAGTAGAAGATAGGAAGGATTGTTTTCAGTAATTTACATTGTATATTATATTCCATATTTGCAATAAATTAACAATAAAATTTCTTTTGTTTCCTTGGGTTGTCAGCAGACATTGGCTGTTCCTCTATAGAATTATGCCAAAATCATAATCATTAAAGAATAACACATGGAACTGACAGCAGGTTTTGAAACTGCCTATTTGAGTGATAACAAGCACATTACTGCCCCCCTCAGGTGAAACATTCAACAGTGCTGTAGCTCTAAGTTCATATGTGCTCTGTTATCACTGGTGCAGTAGTGATGATTTACTGACTGTCTCTGAAAAGCTGAAGAGGTTTTCAAACACATTAAAACACATAAGAAAGTAAATCACAGATGCAGAGGAATTATGCAGCCATGTTTTCTAAAACGTCTGATTTTACTAAAAGTTAAAAAACAACCTCTTCCGTACATACAGTCGTATGCAAAACTTTGTGCACACATCCCCAGCAGTGTTTACATATCCCCAGCATTGAGTCCCTAAGGTGACATTGTGATAATTTTTTAATAAGGCATAGCAAAAAAAAAAATATATATATATATACACACATATATATAATGTAATATATAATGTAATATATATATATATATATATATAATATATATATATATATATAATATATATATACACACACACACACACATACACACACAGGACCAAAGTATTGGGACACCCTTTCAAATTACTGAGTTCAGGTGTTTCAGCCACAATCATTGCTAACAGGTGTATAAAATTAAGCACACAGCCATACAGTCTCATAAGACAAACACTGGCTAGAATGTGTCATACTGAAGAGCTAGGAATCTAGGAATCTAGCATCTAGGAAGAAACAACAGCTCAGCCATGAAGCGGTAGACCACACAAACTCACAGTGTGGTGCCTCTAAGTGCTGAATTGCACAGTGTCTGTCCTCTGATGAATCACTAAAGAGTTCCAAACAGCCTCTGGAAGCAACATCAGCAAAAGAAATGCATGTTAGGAGATTCACGAAATGGGTTTCCATGGCTGAGCAGCTGCACACAAGCCTAAGATCAAAATGCCCAATGCCAGGGGATGCTCATGCAGTCTGATGGACGAGTCTGGGTTTGGCGAATGCCAGGAGAATGTTACCTGCCTGACTGCACTGTGCCAGCTGTAGAGTTTGGTGGAGGAGGGATGATGATATGGGGCTGTTTTTCAGGGGTTGGTCTAGAACCCTTAGTTCCAGTGAAGGGAAATCTTAATGACACAGCACCAAGACATTTTGGACAGTTGTACACTTCCAACTTTGTGGGAACAGTTTGGGGAAGAACCTTTTCTGTTCCAGCATGACTGAGCCCCAGTGCACAAAGCAGCTCCATAAAGGCCTGACTGGGTGAGTTTGGTGTGGAAGAACTTGACTGACCCTCACAGAGCCCTGACCTCAACCCCATCAACACCTTTGGGATGAATTAGAACAGAGATTGTGAGCCAGGACCTCTTGTCCAACATCAGTGTCTGACCTCACAAATGCTCTTCTGGATGAATGGGTGAAAATACCCACAGACACTCTCCAACATCTTGTAGGAAGCTTCCCAGAAGAGTGGAAGCTGTTACAGCAGCAAAGGGGGAGCAACTCCATATTAATGCCTAAAGATTTAGAATGGGATTCATAAAAGCTTCTGTAGGTGTGATGTATAGGTGTCCCAGTACTTTTGTCCATATAGTGTACTTGATTTTTTGGCTGTTGGTTGAAAAAACTGAAAAAAATTCAAAAGGTAGAATAAAGAAAAAGTAGGAAGTAAATTTCCAATATAAAATTAGATTTAAAAGTGAATTATAAAATCAGTATTAAAGGCACAGCAAAGGTTTCATTACAAAGAATGAAGTGAAAATGCAACCAGAAGCACATACCACATATACCATAATAGCTGCATATACCATCCCTTTTTGCTCACTAACAAGTGTAGTTCCCAGCTTAAAATCAGTTTTGACGTGCACAACGATCAGTGACATCAAAGTCTAGATGAAGATTTTTTTAGTTCCACTATGGAATCAAGTATCGGTGATGTTGCTTGTAGTTTTCATACTGTTATGATTTTTATTTTTGCACTTAGTAATAGAATTAAATTACTTCCACTCTAAATATTTGTTCAGAACTGCGTCATTTAATGTTTTAATTGACTTTTAGTAACACAAGTGTTAATGTTAAAGCAATCAGCCTTTCCAGCTGTCAAGACCACTATTCCAACTGTGGCTCAGGAGACACTGAGTAGCCAATCTAGGTTCTGCCATAAGTGTCATTGAATCTGGACTGAAGATAATCCCAAGACCTCACTGGAGGATATTTGTTCGATCCATCACAATAACTTATGATGGCGTTGTCATCCAGCTGCACAAAGAAGGTCAAACTTTGCCGTGTCCTTAAGTCACCATCAGGGGGCAGCAAAACCCTATGGACCTGAGAAGGTACACCGCAAAAAAACGGTGAAAAGTATGAATAATTTCTTTAATGATTGTATAAATAATTCAGTCAGCTTTGCTTTATTTGATTTTCTAGGTAAAGGCTCAATAGGGATATTTACAGAAGATACAAACACGTCGCTGGTCCACCTCTGCATCAAGTCTGCGATGTTGATCAGAACAGTTCCAGGAATGCTTGGAGCTGAGATAAACTCCCCTTTACGGCTCATGACCTAAAAGAAAACACACAGCAACTTACTGATTATTACTGTGAACTTACTGTACTAGGGGAGTCATACTTTTGCTCTTAAAAGAAGTAAAAGAGGTACACAACCTCTGCAAAAAACATTATAAACAACTTAATTTTTCTACAGATGTTACTGCACAGTTACTTTATATTTGATTAATTTACAACTAGAAAAAATATTAATTTTGTGATGTTTGGCAAACGTTTGAGCACTTTTCCATTTTTTTTCCCGGTCTGATGACAATTCCAGAGCATAATTAATGAAGGTAATTGATGCCTACAAAACAGAGCAAGGCTTTAAAAAGACATCAAAGCACTTCTAGCTTCCAATTTCCACTGTCTGAAATGTCATCCTGATATGCCAGTTTAGGGGAACTGTGGAAGTTATGAAAAGATCGGAAAGACCAAGAAAACTGCTTGTATGCTGACTAGAAAAGGCAAAGCAAAACCCCCATATGATAACAAAAGACCTGCAGAACAGTGTAGCTGAAAAGGAGCAGTGGTGTAACGTTGCTTGCACAAACATGATCCTTAAGGAAGAGTCATCAGAAGGAAACCTCACTTGTAACCACATCAAAAAAGTCAATGTTGAAAATATGCAAAACAACATCTAGAGAAGCCAGACTCATTTTGGAAATGAGTGCTGTGAATTGATGATGTAAAAATTCATACTTTTAATACTTTTTGACTACAATCAAGTTTGGACATTTGGACAACATTTGATGAAAAGAACATGTTGGGTGGGTGAGTCTAGTTTGCTTTGGGGTTGTGTGGAAACCAAGACTATTGCAGAACTAGAAGCATTCTGGAAGAAAAGGTGGGTAAAAATTCCTAATCCAAGAATAGAAAGACAACCAGCTGGCTACAAACAGCACTTGCAAGCCATGGTATCTGCCAAAAGGGGTTCAATATTATGCACTGTTGTCTTGATTTGATGCATTTTTTGACTCAGAAAAATTAAAGAGTGGCTGAAATTTCAGTTTATTAGAGAATTCACGGTTACAAAAGTCCACTATGTGGAACAAAAGCTGTGTTTTATGTGTCCTGCTCTAAAGTTCAAGACACAAGCTAATATGTTAGCCCACAGCTAACACACTGTCCACAAGCTAACATGCTAATGACAATACAGAAATATAATGTGCTACGCTGCAATATGGTGATAGTTCAATATTTCACCATTTTACTGTCCTAAACTCCATTAAAAGGAGGCTGTAGGAGATGTTATTCATTTGTCCTGCATTATCAGTCCTGTCACTCTGCTTTCTCACCTGCAGGCCGCCCTCGCGGCTTTGGAAGAGAAGAGTGATGCTGCCATAATCTGAGTGCTCCCCACAGCGGAGTTGATCTTCCTTCACGGTCTCTCTCTTCACTGGAGCGTAATACAGAGCACGCAGGGTACTGCCATTCTCTTCACCTTAAGAGCAACAGAAACAAATGTTAGAACCCTGTTCTCAATCTGTGTTTACCTACGTGAAGAGAAAATATGTTCCATTAGATGCCTGAACAAGTTCCAGTTAATCTAGAATTATGCAGCAGTTAGAATTCTTATGAAAAGCAAAAGCTTTAACAATATTAGTCTCACTGATTGTACTATATTACATATTATAGGGTGTAAATTTAAATACAGTATTAAAAAATTGGAAATAGTGCAGGATGTTTTAAAACTATCCACTCAGATACACTCTTTAGTCTTGTGAACAGTCTGTCAATGTTTTTCATTTTTTCATTTCTTTTTTCTAAGCCAAACTAATCTGCGTAGGATATCATTAAGGCTACACAAAATACTGAAAATCGTATCAAACCTTGACCTCAGAATTTACAGTCATATTGTACGTGAAAATGCGAGTCAAAGTCTGTGTCATTAGTGTTGAAGTCATCAAATTCGTGACCCAATTGTCAGGACTGGACAGAAGTCAGACACTCACAGATTATGAAAAGAGGTTTTAATAAAGGGCTTAGATACAAAGGGATAGTCAAAAACAGTGTGAGTCAGCAACAGCACAAAACACAAAACAGTAGTAAAGGGGCATACCAAAAGACGTAGTCAAAAAACAAATAAAGATCCAAAACAGAGAAACAGAGTCCAAAAGGGAGAGGCGAAACAAAAACAAGCTAAGGTCAAACACGGAAGGATAAACAGACATGGAACGCTTCGTGATGCTAGTAGGCTAGTCAAAACTCAGCAAAGAACAATACAACAGGGTGAGTATATATAGGCTGGGACACAGGTGAAAACAATCAATACTCAGGTGATTGAGAATGGGGGGTGGGGGGGTACATCATGTGACTCTTGTTAGAAGTCACGTGAGAGTCAGTGGCATCATGGGAAATGGAGTCATGTTCGGCTTGGGAGCCGAAGAGAAGCGTGACAGTCAGACTTCAGTCCAAGGCATTCGACTTGAGTCCACACCTCTGGAAAAAGCAACATACTAAATAGTAGTAATAAAAATTAGTAAAAAAATTAATAAAATCAGAAATTCAAATCAAGACTACAGTACACCGTGCTGGTCCTGGTGTGCAGAGCAGAGACAAGGCCATGCAGTCCAATAAACAAAAAGACACAAAAAATATTAATATACATACACAACCGTCATAAAACAATACAAAAGAAATATCTTCAGATATTCAGCATGATCAGTGCGCAGTGCTGAGCAATTACAGGAAGTTTTCTCCCTTTCAGTGGATCATGTAAAAATATGATACGAAAATAATAACAAAAGAAAAACAAAGACAAACAAGAACACCAGTGCAACAACAGTAAAGTGCAAACTGTGTGCAAAAGCTGAAGTTTACAATAAACCATCTCAGTTTAGCCAAACACTTCAGTTACACAAGTTTTAAAAACATTTTTATGATATTTGTGTTAGCGCAGAGTTCACATTATTACTGAAAACAGACTTTATCAGTAAACAGTGATTTGTTAGGTGTTGCGTCGCAGCTTAGTTTTGTATATCATTTAGCTACAGAACATGCTGCGCTAATGTAGCTAACTTAATTTATCACAATTATTAAGGCAGCAATAGAACAGCTCCAACATGCTCTCTCTAACAATGTTTACCATCTAGATATAATAGTTCAGCTGTTGTGAGTGAAGATCTGAACATTTTATAGTTTTATAGTGTTTTTAACATATTATTCTTCAACATATCCTGTTTCCACCTCTTCTTACGCTGGTTCTATTTAGGACCATAAGTTCTCTTTAGAACCCTTTTCATGCTTAAACGGTTCTTCAGATAGATGGAGAATATGTAGTATATGGTTCTGTGTAAAACCTTTTTGAAAATAGTTCTACATAGCACCAAAAAGGGTTCTGCCATTGTTACAGGGTCAAGTTTGTAAAAACAGAAGAACACTTTTTGGTTCTTCTACTGTTATTTCATCCTCCAAAGCAAAATCATCACCACTGATACCACACACACAACTACAAGTGCAATGATGGTCAAAGCAAACATCCACACTGGCACAACAGCTCCCTGATCTCTGCATGGACATGGCTGGTCATCTACAGAACAGAAGGACACACAGGTTTGTCATATAGTGAGTTTTAACTAAATATCACCATTAAAGCACACAGTGAGATTTTTTTCATCTACTCTACGCTGTTCAAGCTCAATAAAAAAAGAAAAACACTACTAAAGCAGGAAAGAAATGTATACCATGGACGGTCACTGTGTAGATGTGAATGACCTCTTCATTCCTGATGTCCATTATAATGTAATCTCCACTGTCAGATGGCTTCACCTCTCTCAGCTCAAGAGCAGTGAAGAATGCCATTTTCTGTTTATATTCAGGTTTACATTGTGTTGAGCGTCCATCCACTGTACATATCTGACCACTGGATGGTCCAGCTACATCAGTGCTGTTATAAATCACCTCCACTGGATCTAATATGTCCAACTTCAGCACCAGAGATTCACCACGCTTTATTTGAACGGGAGTATTCAAGGCTGAAGAGACAAAACAAACAGAAACTTGATGAATTGTGTGCAAATCAAACCACTGAGCAAAGGTTAAAAGTTAATTAATTTAATTTACAGTAAACTTGATCATTTTCAGGAAATTTTGTGAGGAGATTAGATGGAAGATAATCCGTGTGCAGAAGAAAAGAGAAAAAACAGGAGTTTCCAAATCTGGAGTTCATAAACTGATTAAAATCTCCAGAGAAAACGTCTCTCCTAACAACCACCTGGAAGAGCTGGTCGACCCCAAAACTGCCCCCATCAGATAAACAGCACTTAAAGCTTTCATCTCTGAGAGAGAGGAGAAAATCAAGCTGATCAGATCTGAAAACATCCACAGGTGTTTCTGTCCATCCTTCCACTGTGAGAAGACGACTCAGCGCTGTGGGTCTGAAAGGATGTGTAGCTGATCAAGAAGAACCTCACTGAGAAAAGGAGACGGACACATCAAACAAAGAAGCTGAACAATGGACTGACCACCCCAGAGTCCAGACCTCAACACCACTGAATGTGTTTGATTACTTCAGAAAATGATCAACCAGCTTCTAAGACTGAACTTTGGAGGTGTGTCTGCAGATTCTTTGAGTACTGAACGCCAGTCTTCTGAAAAGTGGTCATTGAGTAAAACATACACTTACGCTCAATCTGTAGACGCACATCACAGACGTCTTTACCATCACAGTCACACGTGTACCAGCCTCTCTTAGTGAAATCAGCTTCAATGATGGTGAGAGAGAGATTCCCCTTCAGGTACTGATCATGGATCATCTGATATCCCTCCTTCACTGATCTGCATGAAGTCTGATCACACTCAGCCAGAGTATCAGTGGGTTTAGTGAACACAGTCCATCTGACCAAACCAGAGCATCTCTCAGAGCAGGACAGAGTAGCAGAGTCATGAAGATTCACCTTCACTGGAGAATTAGCTGACACTGAAAGAGAGAGAAAGATAAATGGGTAAAACTGAATCTCAATAAAGTAAAAAAAAAAAAATAGCCAAAAATAAGAAAAGCTCTTAATTTTTTAGAAGAGTAAATGTCTAAATGTCATTATCAGGTTGCAGGTTCTGGCATATTTTAATAGATCAGTATTGGTGATATTAAGCCTCATCTAATGATGATCCTCTTTATGGATATGCTACCCAATTGTGCTCTATAAACATTGCTGTTGTAGAAGTAATACATCCAGTTCTAAAACACTGTTAGAGATTAACAGAACTTTATGAAATTGATTTGAGGAGTGTGTTAGCTTTGGGGATCTGGAGCCCTCTCTGGTGGAAATGTGTAACTGCACAAAACATGTGGAAGAACATTTAGTAGCGTAGGTTATTCTTTGGTCCCCTTCCCCAAGTGGATAAATCTCATGACTGAAAGAGAACAAAGTCTAAACTTGGTGAAGGAGCGTCTTCTGAGGATGTAAGTGAATTATCTACTATTGTCATCACATCATCAATATAATGTTCATTTTGAGATAATTTGAGACCTAAACATCGAGCCGGACCTTCTTTTTGAGTCTGTGCATTACATTAATACATAAAGACGTACAGCGTTGTGTGAAAAACCCAATGCCTTTGACATTTAAATGATTATTTCAGGCTTTACAGGGCGATTCACAGCAGTGCACTCACCATATTTTAGCCTGTTTATATTCTCCTCAGTCAGTAATGACACTTCTTTCAGTTTTACATAGTGAAGTTTTAATAAACTGCAACAGATATACTGTATACTGTCTAAGGCACTTTGTTTTTTATAATGTTCTAATATTCATTTAATGTAAATTGTGGGTAACAGTTGCATTCTTGTAAATTTTCACACTACAAACATCAAATGTATGGTAAATGGATATTGGCCTCAAATTTCGGTTATTGTTATCCTTGATTACTAATAAAAAAAAACATATCAGTCAACAACTACTGTGCAGTACGTACTCACCAGTAGTGCATATAGTGGTCAGTAAGATCAGAACAGAGAGAGCAGAACTGCAGGACTGCAGGACTGACCTACAGATACACACACACACACACACACACACACACACTATCAGTTCTATTTTGTTATGGAGTATTGATTACTGTGGACAAAAACACTGATGTGTTTCCCTTTACGTACACACCAACAGAGAATACTGATAGTATGTTAGCAGGCTATATACATTAGTGTTTTTATTGGCATAGCAGTGGTCATCATTGGCTGAGATCTGCTAAGTGTAGAGCATTATATTATTCACTACACTGAGCTTTTCTGCATGTTGAAAAGAACTATTCACTACCTGTGTTCATACTAAACATTCATCAGCAATGATTTTTTCATTACTAACAAATTCCTCAACCTTTTCACAATGATGTTCCAGAAAGCGGTTCACCCATAAGGAGTTCCTTTAGCATCTGCAGTTCCAGAATGTCACACAGCATCAGCTATACACTGTCTGCAGAACAGTACTGAGAATCATCGGGCGATACGTGCACTCAGATCATAACCAGATCATGGATCCTGTGGGTTTTTTAATGACATGGTAACACTTCATGAATTCTTGTACTCACTGGAACTGAAAAATACATTGTTGCGGTCACGCTAAAAATATTGTAGCTCCAATTTTTCTACATAATTTGAAAACTCCACTTACCCTTTGCATTATGTTAAAATTTCTGAGGAATGGATACTGAGACAGCATTGGTTCATGTCGTGAATAACCTCAGGCTCAGCACTGATGCACAAAATCCTTCTACTCTGGTCTTGTTGGATCATAGTGCAACTTTTGACTCCGTTGATCATATGATTCTAATCCACAGTCTTGAATTCTGAATAGGCTTCTCAGGCACAGTTTTAGAATGGTCTAAATCATATTTAGGTAATAGACAGTTCTTGGTTTCACTGGGAAATCATTCATCAAAAAAAGAAAATTTCTTATGGAGTCACTCAAGGTTCAGTTTTAGGGCTTTTGCTTTTCTCTTTGTCCAGTCAAAGTTTATTTATATAGCGGTTTTTACAGCAGCTGTTGTCACAAAGCAGCTTTATAGAAAAGTCTGGGTCCGAGCCCCCATGAGCGTCACCAATGGCGACAGTGGCAAGGAAAAACTACCTAAGAGCAAGAGGAAGAAACACTGAGAGGAACCAAGACTCAAAAGGGGAAGCGTTAGTATTAAATATTAGAATACAAAACGAGGAAAACAGGTGGAGCAACAGTAATAATTATGGAGTTTGAGTTCATGCAGCAGCAGCAGGAGGGTCAGTTCATGCAGGTGAGGTTTGCACAGCTTTGTACAGCATGAAACTCCATGGTGGTCAAAACAGTGCAGATCAGCAAACAGAGGTGGAGCTCTGGTGACTCTAGCAGCTCTAGTGGCTCCCATGTGGCGACTTAGGCCAGAGTTAATAGTGCAAAACTGATATTAGTAAAATTCTTGTGCAAACAGAAAAGTTTTGAGTCTAGTTTTAAATGTAGAGAGTGTGTCTGAGTGTAGAGAGTGTGTCTGAGTCCCGAACAGAGGTCAGGAGATGATTCCACAGCTTTGGGGCTATGTAAGAAAATGGTTTTTCTAGTTCTTGGAACCGTCAGAAGGCCGTTACTAAGATACTGCAGGGCCATTTAACGATGTATATGTTAAGAGAAGGATCTTATACTCTACACCAAATTTATCAGGTATCCAGTGTAATGGAAAAGGTAACATTGTACACGTTACCTCTAGGTGATGTCATTAGGAAAGATAATATTAATTTTCATAGCTATGCTGATGTTACGTATACATTTCTGTTGCTTCTGAAAATGTATGGAGGGGTTTGGGTTGGGGTGTGTTCGAGAGTGGTCACCATGGAGAGGGAGCCTATGGCTTTTGATGACCTCCCTGGTAATCGCTGTGAAGTGTGCCTTTCTGCTTGGTGTCAATAAAAGATCACTATTCATAATGGCCAGATGTTGTGCTTTGAATGCTGGTACACTGGTCAACCAGTATGACCATGCTGGGTGACCAGTTAAACCAACCACAGACCAGGATAAACCAGCATGTAATTCATTTTGGTCTGAGCAGTTTTTAGCAGGGGTAACAGATCTTCAGTACTCGTCTGTTTCTGGGTTTAACTTTACACAGTAATTGCGAACTGCTGAATGACACTGTGGGGTACAGAGAACATTCAGAGCTGAATGTCAACACCTTCATTAAAAACAATGCTGTCACATTTTGAATGTGAATCTGGTGTGTGGTGATCATAAGTATAAAAATCATTTATATTAATACAGATTTGAAGTTTAATGATTTCTATCAGTGTCTCAATGTGGATCAGTGAGCCCCCCTTAATGCTGAATCAAAAAGAAAGAGTTGACTCAGACAGACTTCCAAGTAGCAGCGACTCACACAGCTTTCATTTTCATTTTCTTAGTGTTTATGAATGCAGATATTTACAAAGGAGCAGAATAATATATGAGAAAACTGTACAGAACACAAAAGAAAACAGCTGCAGTCAGCCAGCCAAAAAACAGGCTTTATCACAAAGACCCAGACATTCAGACTGTCCCACTGGGCTGTCTGCCTCTTTTAAAAAGACAAAGCGCCGTCCCTCCAAAGCCTCACTAAATTATTCATAATCAAAAATAAAAGAACAACAAAAGCCCACAAATCCACAAACAATATAATCATTTAAACATTACAAATGATTTCCAAGATTGTAGTGCATTATAAACACACAGAACAATGTCAAACAGGACAACTTTACAAACCCTCACCTCCGCTCCCACCCAAAGCAGCAGGCTGCCCCTCTGTAACAGAGCTGCATGGTATAGTCACCTCTGATTCTCAGGAACTACTCGGAAAAGAACTGAAGATGAAAAGCAGAGGGGCTTCAGACTCACTGCTTAACCCACACTCAAGCACACCCCTGAAATGAAGTAGCCCCGAAAATCCAGACAAGGCAAGGTCAGACGACCCTCTGGTCACAGCTCAGTTGCTATTTTAAACATATGAAGCTATATTCAGCTCAGTTAAATACTCCCTGTGTACTCACTGTGCTGCAATCGTTGATCTCCAGAGAGGTTATTAACACAGAGTGGGGATTGCGAGATCTCAGTCTTCTGAAAGCTGGACTGTAGTGAACACTCTCCACACAGAGGGTCTCAGACTTTACAGAGAAGGAGAAACACACGCTCTGTTCACCCTTATAATAATTTTCATGTAAGTAATGTTGTAAGAGGAGTGAAGTGTTGCTGCTGTCCCATAGCACACTTATGTGGTGGGGACAGAATTCCTTGGTATACTTAGTACATTTGCTACAATGTGTTTCAAGTTTATTTCAATGTGGCAACACTGAGAGACTTTCTGCTCATTTCTCAACAGCATGGCTGCAGTTCAGTCCTGCCATTGAAAACGTGAAGCATTATGAAGTGCAAAAAAAGTCAGAGAAGGCCCCGGTCGTTTGCAGAGCTGAGGACTCACTCAGGGTGGCCTGACATCATATTAAACCCTATGGATTAAGAGTGGGATGTCACTCAGGTTCATATGTGCGTGAAGGCAGAAGAGCGAATACTTTTGGCAATATAGTGTAGATTATCTCTAATTCAGATACTCTGAGCAAGTGAGTTCTAACATTCTTTCAAGCAGTTTTTTACCACCTCTTTCTGCGCAGGAGCATTAGCTTTCCTGTAGCATGGCTAAAAGACTGGACTGAGATCTTTCACAGGTTTACTGCACTGTTCTTAACAGACCTCTCTCTCCCTCCTTCTGCAGTTCCTCCTTCTTCAGCTCTGTCTTCAGTGAAGGTGAATCTTCATTTCACTTTCTAAACTACAGCAGTGTCTCCTCAGTTCCCAAACGCGTTGTTGACGCTTTTAACGAGTGTTGTTAAAAGAAGAGGTGATGAAACACAGTGGTAAACAGGCCCCCGTCCCAACTTTTTTGGAAAGTGTTGTTGGCATCAAACTCAACAAGGGCATATATTTTTCAAAAAACAATGAAATTTCTCAGTTTCAACATTTGTAGTATGATTTGCACATCATTGCATTATTTACTTGTTTTAATTGACATTCTGCACAGCGTCCCAACATTTTTGTAAACGGGGTTGTAGAAATCCAGTTTGATTACATATTATAGGTGTTGCAGTTGAGACTGTTATAGGCAAGTCCAAGTGAAGACCAAGGCTAGAGGTTGAGTCTGGGTCAAGACTGAGACCAGATTAATATTTTATTCAAAATATATTAATAAAAAGAAGAAAATGGAAAAACTGAAATTCATTTGTAGTTTATTGTACGTTTATTATCATTCAATACATTAACAACTATTATAAATTTTGTAAAATATAACATTACATAATACATTATATACCCTAAAAATACTACTAAATATTATTATATTATAGCTTTAGTCTGTTGCATTATATTGTAACTTTTGGAAGCAAATGGTATTGAAGTTGTTCTCTGTTCTTCTTCTCTAAAACCTATTCAGAATCACCAAATAGAGTCCACTTTATTCTTAAATTAAATGGAGTTATGAAATAACTGAAGTGTGGGAGGAAGTATGTGCCTGAAACCCCTCCTCCTTCCTATCTACGGACTTATATATTCACATCTTCACCTTCGATTTTCTGTAATGAAGTTCTCACACCACTTTCTGGCCTTCTAGCTACAGGCAGAAGCTGCCCAGAACTCCAGCCCAAGTTCTCAGAGTTCTCCCCCACCCTCAATCAGTCTTCCCTCATACTACCACCACCATGTTGAGGACACAGTCTGAGCTCACAAAAACATAGTAATAGTTATTGACTAGACACAAGACCAAGTCCAAATGATATCAAGACTGAGTCCAAATGATGTCGAGACCGAGACGAGACCCAAGTCCAAATGATGCCAACACTTAGTCCAAACGATGTTGAGACTGAGATAAGACCTGAGTCAAAATGATGTCAAGACTGAATCCTAATGATATCAAGCCCGAGACAAGACCCAGTCCAGAAAATGTCCAGACCAGTCCAAATGATGTTGAGACTTAGAAGAGATTGAGTCCAAATAATGTTGAGTACCGAGATGAGACTTGATGAAGGCAAGACCAAGACAAGCTAATTTATGCTCCTGAGACCAAGACCAGACTTGAGTACTATAACACTACCCATTCCAATGGCAGTTTTTTCACTGATTGGATAGATCTGCATGTTGTTGTCATTCTCATGTGAGACTGAAGGCTCTGCTTCAAGTGGTAGACATTTTTTGAGAAGCCAGTATGCCCCTGTTTTTCTCATGTCAGATGGGAAGTCAAGTGAGACATGGAGTTTGGAGAAATTTAGGATTTTTAATAAAAATTAAAAACAAACAATAGAAGTGAAGCATTATGGGATATTTGACAGTATGTCATTTGAAATGAGACGAGGGATGAAGCAAAGCAGGTGGACGTGTTTCAGACTGTTCAGAGTGCAGAGTGAGCGGTCAGAAGACTTTAATTTTAGACTATTATCAGCAAAACTTCATGTATGGACCAATCAAGTCAAACCAATCAGAAACAACCAAACACCCATGTGCTGTGACATCACAACCATGACTACATGATAGTCTGGAGCAGAAAAAGAGGAAGTTGGGGGCTGAAAATATCAGACCTGGAGCTTCATTTACAGAAAACAGTCCCAGTTTAAGTCACAGTCTCTGTAATAGAGCAGTGATAGTTGTGCAGAACGACTGCAGTTCTATCAGACTGGTGTAGGTGGAGTTTGTGTGTGAAAACGGAGATTTAAACTGGATTTAAAGTGAATTATCCTGTTTTATTTTCATCAGCCTGCAGCTCCACGTTTCTCCTGCAGGTGGTGGTACATTCTATTTCATATGTAAGCAGTTCACTGTGAGTTACACTTACAGAGCACAGGCTGTACAAATGCCTTATTATCTAAACATTATTATTATTATTATTATTATTGTTATTATTATTAGAGAGGTGAATATGGATGATGAGTTGCTGTATCTGGAGGTGAAGATGAACTATTGATTCACAGAGAAGAGCTCTGCAGATACACATGGAATAACTTTCACTTTATCTCCTTAGGACCACCGGTGGTTCCAAAACGCACTTCGTCATATTCTTCATAACTTTCATATTTCATAAGCTACATTCTAAAGGTGGGGGTCGTATGAGGCTGTAACTGTCTTCAGTCAAATAGATGGGTGATGTAATTTTAAACCCTTATAATAAAAGAAGCTGAACTCAGTTTTTTTCTACTGAAAGTCGACCCATTTTTCCACAAATCTGAGCTGTAAACTATAAACAGATGGCGTCTCTTCAGTGATCTGCTCTGTAAAAATTATTTTTATAAAATAATACAAAGAGCGTCTAAGATTTTTGGCTTTCAGCAGTAAATTGTAAGCATATAGCAATATGTGTATCATAAAACACATGTTCTGATAATTTGAGGGGAGCTTTAAAAATAAATAAATAAATAAAATAAAAACGTACATGTATTGTTATTTTGCAGTTACTGAATAGTTTGCCTTATGATTTACATATACAAAATACACCCTGACCAATAAGAGGTTAACTCACTGTAAACAGCATCTGATTCTCAGATACACGAAAGCTAAACTAAACGCTGTAAAAGAAGAAATAAAAACGAAAAAACAATAAAGATCATCTTTATTTCAGATTTTCAACAGTTTCATCATGAAGTACCCAAACCTGTACAGCAGAGGGCGCTACAAACTGAACCTGCTTCCCAAACTGCAGACTGACACAGTCAACAGGAAATACTTACTGCTCTGTGGTAAATAATAAAATAACACATTTACAAAGTGTGTTTAGTGAAGGAGTGTTGTGTGTGAGTTGCAGAGGTAGGATGAGGTGGACAGTAACTTTTAATGATGTCATTCAATTTAATCATGAACATTTTTCATACAATTACTTCAGCTTATTACTAATAACGTACTTAATTTAGCTATTTTAATGTTTAATAACTGTTCCAGTCTGAAAAAGAGGCTGTTCTGAACAGCTAAACTGCTCCTGCAACCTCTTTATGTCTGTTTTTAATGGAACCCAGACTGTTAAGAAGACTTTGGCCTCAATAAGGTGAACAAACTTCAATCCTCTACGAATAATCCTCATCTCTCTCTCTCTCTCTCGCTCTCTCTCTCTCTCTCTCTCTCTCTTCTCCACTGAGTGAGAATCAGCGAAAGATCTAATTTAACCTTTCCAGCTTTATCCAGAGCCTTAATTACCCAGAAGAGGAACATTTTAATGATCTGATTTTCCACAGTGGCGACTTAGTGGTGGAGAGTTTTTCCCTCTTTGTTATTTTATGATAAAACATTCTCTTTGGTTTATACGTCATATCTTAGCAGTGTTGGACATTATTACACTGTAAAGCACACAGGCCTTAAAACTCTAAGCTAATTTAGTAAATGTACGCTAACTTTCACTGCTAGCCCAGCCAGTAAACCCAGATAAATACATCTGTTCAATTAAAAATGATGTAAATAACACGCTGCATCTTTGTTATTGTGGCCTCTAATGATAAATATGTAGACTATGAGTCTGTATCTCAAAATGAATGAACTTTTCCAATCAGATCTCCTGGCTTTCTGCCAAACAGACTACAGAGAATTTCTTCAGATCATTCAGGGAATCCAGAGAAACTCCAGACAGCACTGCATTAAAACAGCATGATTTAGTGAGGAGTATTGGTGTCCATATAAGGGGTGAACTGAACGTCTATGAAGCACCGTTAATGCTGAGGATATCTACACACTTTGGAGCAGCACATGCTGCTTTTCAGTCTTCCCCTGCTGGTTTCAGACGCTATAAAACCCCCCAGCTCAGCCTTTTCTGTACGAAATCCTCCAGAACCCCATCTGCACTGGGTGCTGCACCACTGTCACACATGCATGCACTGCATCATGTTTTAAAGGCATCATAAACGATTTACTGAAATGACCTGGTGCTAAATCATCATCTGGAATTAATATTAATATTTATTTATTTATTTATTTACTTTTTATAATCCTTCTACTTGACTGTTTGTTTATTTAATGTTTGTCTAATCTTTAATGTTAAAGTTTATTAATTTGGCTTATTGTCTAGGTTTTATTGTACTTTCCCCCTTTAATTAAGTCTTATTTGTTCAGATTATCTTGTTTGATTTTATTGTAGTGCGTTTTTTAGTTTAACCTTATTTTAGTTTAACCTGATTAAGTTTATTTTGATTTCAATCCCTTTAAGCTGTAAATGCTCAGCTGCACTGAAAATGAGTCACTCTCAGTGTACTTTGGAATGAAAGTAAAGCGAATCAAACACACACACACACACACACACACACACACACTCACACACACACACTCACACACACACACACACTCACACAGACGTAATTTCACATTCAGAGATCATGATGTTAAAACTGTCCTCCTTCAGTTCATTCACACTGACAGAACCCAATAACTGTCTATTTTATTTCCACTTCATCCTCCGTGCTCACTGGTGCACTCGTTCAAAATCAACATTCAATTTTACACAAACACACAAACACTAACAACAACAACAACAACAATAATAATCCTGTAAATCTTGTAAAATCTATGATCATCAGTGGTTCAGATTTATAGAGCACAGTGAAGATTAAACTCTGAAATAGACCCAGTGGTGACCCTGACCTGTTTGGATCAAGGTCAGAGCTCCTGTCACTCCAGAACAGTGGACCAATAGACACACCTCCTTCTAAGACCCGCCCACCTGTAAAATACCTCACAAATCAATCAGATTGATCAGTAAAGAACCTGTACAGCCTTTTCTAGTGTTTATATTCTCTGCTTATTTAATGTGTTTTTAATGTTTCTGTAAAGGAAACCAGGATTTATATCACACAGCAGAGCACAGCTACAAACACTCACACAGACATTCACTATTATAAACCTTCATTTTATTATAATAGAAAATACACATTTATATACACAGACACTTTATTTCACATTGCAATACAACATATATACATCCTGAACATCTAATGGTCTGTGTTCTGTTTGTAAACATACCTGAGTCAGGTGAGCAACATTACGGCCTCCATCACCTGAATTAACACTGTTTACAGCAGAACTGAATAAAAACATGGACTGAAAACTCCTGATTTCTTCAGTGGGAACATTCAGAATAACAGTGCAAACAATATAGAGTAAAACAAATTAGGATATAAAATAATAATCCTGAACAAACAGTGAGTTAACGCCATATTTGAGATGGATCAACAAGCTTTTTCACCAGAAATGTTTGATCATTTTTGGTTCATTCATCATGAAATTTTGTAAAGAGCAGCTGCCATTTTCAAACTCTGTGAAGAAAAAAAATGAATCTGTCCAAACACTGAGAGAAAACAGCTTCATTCACCTCAGACCTCCAAACAATCAACACCAACACAACAAAGCAGAACCTGGACCTGTAGAGCTTTAGCGTGAACCTCATCACCTACTGAGCCACCTCAGTTACAGACTGAGATTAATCTGAACCAGTGTGGACTTTACCTGACCTCCCACTGTCTCTGCTGACCACAAGTCCACTGTAAACAAAGAGTTCATTATGTTACACTCCTTCGGGCCACTTTATCAGAAACCCCTCTCCTGTAGCTCCACCTTGCTGGTGTACAGTTAGAGACTGAAGAGCTTCTGTAGATGTACAGTGTGAGTTAGCCATCCTTTAGTCCTTCATCAATGGTCTGTTTCTGACCACAGAGCTCCTCTCGTTGAAGTGACAAAAGGACCACCCCCAAACATCCAACTGAGCTCAGATTCTCAGTGAGAGAAACACAGACCGGTACTAATACTGTAACTACTGAATGTGCTGGAAGGGTTCAGACAACGATCTCAGATCTCAGAGGACACAGATCACACTACGTCATCAAAAAATCAATCTGCATCACTGTTTTTCACGTTCGTCTTTCAGTGATAAGCTACCTTTTTCACCTCATCCAAGCATAAAAACCTTTCGCCATATTTTGACCTTAATTTCTCACTTTTCCATCTGTGTTTTTAATGAGCTTTTCCAAAATTGACCTAAAAGAGGTGGATGGAAAACCCTCTAAAGAGAGAGAGAGAGCAAGAAAGATGAAACAGAAAAAAAAAGGAAGATGGTTTTGTGAAGATCACTCAGAGTCACTGGTGTCCATTCAGATAAAGTATCAGTCTTTCAATCTTCATCCAGAGCTGCTGAATTTCTCTCCTCAGCTGCACATTCACCACCACTAACACCACAATCACAGCTACAAGTACAGCCACCAGTACAATCAGTACAGTGACCCACACTGGAACAGCAGCTCCTCTATCTGTGTCCAGATCTGGATGGTCATCTACAAAACACACACACAGGTTTGAAATACAGTGAGTTTAACTAAACACCATCATTAAAGCTCAGCAGCAGATTCCTGATCAGTGAACTCTGATTGGACAGACAGAGAACTTGTAATAACACATACTCTTCACTTTATCATCTCCACCTGCTGACCCCACGGTCACTGTGTAGATGTGAATGGCCTCTTCATTCTTTTTGTCCATTACTGTATAAACTCCACTGTCAGATGGAGTCACTCCTCTCAGCTGAAGAGCAGTCGACACTCTTTGCTTATATTCAGGTTTACACTGTAGTGATTGTCCATCCACTGTACAGATCTGACCACTGGATGGTCCAGCTGCACCTTTATAAATCACCTCCACCTCCTCTGGTATCTCCAACTCCAGGACCAGAGATTCACCAGGGTTTATTTGAAGTGAAGTGTTTAACACTGAGGAGAAAAATATATCTGATATGAATCTCAGCATCTAAATCACTGGAGTTCTGTCAGTAACGGTCAGTTGAAAAAAACTGATGGACACTTACGCTCAATCTGAAGACGCACATCACAGAGATCTTTACCATCACAGTCACTCGTGTACCAGCCTCTCTTACTGTAATCAGCATCAGTGATGGTGAGAGAGAGAACTCCCTTCAGGTACTGATCATGGATCATCTGATATCCCTCCTTCACTGATCTACATGAAGTCTGATTACACTCAGCCAGAGTATCACTGCGTTTATGGAACTTAGTCCATCTGACCAAACCAGAACATCTCCCAGAGCAAGACAGAGTAGCAGAGTCATGAAGATTCACCTTCACTGGAGGATTAACTGACAATATCTCTGAAAGAGAAATGAAGACCAAAGGGATAAAAATGAGGATAAAACAATAACCGTCCAACTTCAACACAAGTTTCTGCTGATAGAAGAGCAGATTTTAACTGTCACCATCAAACAGAAGATTTAAAATGCAGCATTTTTAAGAACTATTTTAAAATGAAGGTAAGTGAAGATAAATTATGTATAATATATATTATGGATAATATAATATTACCCATATAATATAAATGATAATACACTGTTTAAAACAGTAGAGACAGTGCAGTTCTTACCAGTAATGAATGTAGAGATCAGTAAGATCAGGATACAGAGAGCAGAACTGCAGGACTGCATGACTGACCTACAGACACACACACACCATCAGTACTGACCAGGAGAGGAGAGAGAGAAGAGAGAAAGAGAGAACAGAACTGACCTACAGACACACACACACACACACACACACACACACACACACACACACACACACACACCAGCAGTACTGATCAGGAGAGGAGAGAGAGAAGAGAGAAAGAGAGAACAGAACTGACCTACAGACACACCATCGGTACTGACCAGGAGAGGAGAGAGAGAAGACAGAAAGAGAGAACAGAACTGACCTACAGACACACACCATCAGTACTGACCAGGAGAGGAGAGAGAGAAGAGAGAAAGAGAGAACAGAACTGACCTACAGACACAAACACACCATCAGTACTGACCAGGAGAGGAGAGAGAGAAGAGAGAAAGAGAGAACAGAACTGACCTACAGACACACTCTACATCTGATCACACCAAACTGTCTGTGAAGTTTAAATGGTCAGATTTGACCACACGCTGTAATCAATAAACAACACTGTCCTGCAGGCTACCGGCTCTGAATGAGCTCATCAGCTACGTTTAGGTGGCAGTAATAAAAGCAGTCCAGTGAAAATCACTAATAAACAAGCAGCATTCAGGATAGTAAAATATGATGTGACCAATGGCGTTCCTCTAGCGCTTTAGCCCCGCCCACTCTCAGCAGTCAGAATAATCCAGTGTGCTGGTGTAGTAGAGATGAAGGAGGATTCAGGCTGAAGTCTTATTTTCTGTTTTATCTGATTTTCTCTGTCATGTTGAGATTAAACACTGAACATAACCGGTTTCTGTTTGCCGGTAACAACAGTGGTGCAGTGCGCAGACACTGATAAGAGAAAAGGGGACCTCGACATGGTGACATACTAATATCTTAATCATATTACAGTCAGAACTCAAACAGCGCATCACTGTCTGCTTTTCAGCTCCTTCTGTTTATGATAACCACACTAGAAGACCCTGAGAAGACTTCTGAAAGTCTGACTCCCTCTCACACCTAAAGACAGTGTCACGGCTTTTAGTCACAGACTGTGATTTAGCAAAGACTGTGAATCTTGCAGTGTCACTGTTTACAAGACTGCAACTAGAGTTTTGGATCTGTGGATTAGAGCTTGGGGATCTGCCCTGAGTGAGTACATGGTGGCTGTTAGTCAAAGGAAAGTATATGGCTTGTCTTATGGGCAAAAATGAATGGATGTGAATGGGAGGAACGAGGAATGAGAAAATGAGACATAGAGGAGTGCGGGTCCGTGTGGCTGTAGAGTTTGAGGACCTGCCCTGAATGACCACATGCAGTTTGGTGGCTGTCGGGCAAAGAAAATAATGGGGCTTCTGTGGGGGAGCAGAATGAATGGGAGTCTATAGGAGAAATGAGGGATAAGAAAAACAGACAAACAGATGAGTGCAGGTCAGAACAACACTGAATTCATGCTTGGGTGCCTCTGAGATAGTATATGTGGAGCAGAGTATTTCGGTCGAGCAGAAGTACAGCAGATGGACATACAATTTTTTTTTCCTATGGAAAAAAATTCTTAAACTAACAAAACCATCCAAAAAGTTGTTTACAAAGCACACCATTCCCAATTAGACTGAACATTCTGGAGTTGGAACAGTGTCGAGATCTAGAAAACTGCAGAGTGAGTTAGCGCACAAAGAAGAAGAAAAAGAAAAAGAAGAAAATGAAGAATATAATAATAGTGTTCTGTGTTGCTTTGCTAATTATTGTTATTTCTATTTTTATTCTTATTATTGGTATTATAGATGATCGTGATAGTAGTTTTGGTTGGTTTAGCTGAAAGTTAACTGTTTTATTCACATTGTTAAACTGTTACTGTCAGATTTACTCTCTCTCACTCTCTCAGAAAAGAAAGTATGACGCTGTCACTGGGCCAGTACCAGTCTTGTTACCGGGCCAGTACCAGTCTTGTCACTGGGGCAGTACCTGCACAAAAATATAGCTCCACAGCAGCTTTTCTCTGACTGTAGATGACGTGAGTTTGAACTTACAGATAAACGAAAGATGAAACCGATGAATCACAGAACGGTCTGTGAAGTCTGTGTGAGCTCATTTCACTACTTGTATGAGAAACACAGGACCTTATTCCCGTCAGTAACACTTTTAATGCTGATTTACAGGGAATTAGAACCACGAGATCAGCCTCCTGATGATGATCAGATCTGCATCTCTAGATCTCAACTCTTAAAGCTGTGAGTGTGGAATGAGTCAGATATATAAACTGTTTCTGTCTCTTCTTCTCCTGATGATGATCAGATCTGCATCTCTGATATGTTTAATAATATCACTCTTAAAGCTGTGAGTGTGGAAGGAGTCAGATATATAATCTGTTTCTGTCTCTTCAGTCAGGACTGACCTGTAACGCCTCAGCTGAAGGAGCTCTCAACAGGAAAGAACAGAGCAACAGGAAAGTCCTGATTCACACACCTCCTCTGTGTAAACAGAACAGCAGGATTACATGCTTTAACTGAGCCCTTTTACTAAAACACCAATAATCACATTATTATAACTATAATTTAAAGAAATGACATTAGTGAAAAGAGAGAGAGAGACAGAAAGAGAGAGATGGAAAGAGAGAGGAGGTGGGGTGTGGGTGTGAAAATGACATTTTGTGCGTTTTCCATGTTGCTGTTGTTAAAAGTTTAAATATATGTCGAAGAGGCGTTTAGTTGTGGGAGCTCCGCCCACTCTGCACAAGCATGTTCTGACTGCTGGACGGAACTTTTTAATCTCTGTGGATGTCAGTCTTTATCTTACAGAGTCTGTGTGTGTTTATGGTCTTTATCTGGTTAATGTTCTCTCCTCTGGTCTCTTTATAAACTCTGTGGATGTCAGAGTCTTTATCTTACAGAGTCTGTGTGTGTTTATGGTCTTTATCTGGTCAATATTTTCTCTGGTCACTCTGTTAGTTCAGTATCAGCTCCACTCAGAGGTGAAGAGTCTGTGTAATTAAGATGATGTGATAAAATCCTCTACAGTTCAGACTTTCAGAGCAGACAGACTTAAACCGCTGATTCAATCAGAATAATCGATCAGTAAAGTCTTCATCAATCACACTCACCGCTAGGCTCCTCAGCAGATCTGCTCCTCTCTTCTTCTCTCTGTTCCTCTCCTCTCCTCCTGTCCTGCTACAGTGACTGAAGCTGCTTTCACACTGAACCCGACAGATTCACTGCTGCGCTTTTTGATTTGATACATACCTGTGAAAGCTCAGAGCGGCCAATAGGAGAGCAGTAGGTGTGTCTGGTGCTTCCAGTTGCTACCCGATAGGCTACAGAGTGAGAGAGCACCGCCCACCTTTGCAACCAGTTTTTACATGTCACACACTTCACCGATCTGCAGTTTTGCTCTGTGGGTTTGTGTTGTTGAACTTTGTAGTTGAGTGTTGTTGCTCTTAGACGCTGAGATGAGTAATTTGGTGAGGAGTTTTCAGAGTCTCAACCTCATAGTGGGTGTGGCTATAATTAAGAAGAGTACAATAATAGCATAACTGACCGTATAAGACTCTGATATGTATTCTACAAATGTGTGGAAGAGAAAGCAGCACACAGATCAATGCTGATTTAACTTGGTCTCTCAGTCTTCAGGCTGCCTTAAGTGTTTAATTATCACTTCATTATCTTCAGTGAGATGCTGATATAACTGTATAATTCAGTTCCATAAAAGAATTTAGTGCTGCAGCTGAAGCTAACAGCGGTTTATCGAATCCTTTACTCTCCCAGATGAAGATAAAGTCTCCAAACACTATGACATCACCAACTCGTGCAGCAGAGTGTACACTAGGACGGTATGTGGATGTGTACATTTATATCTTCAGAATTATATATAACCCCAGTTTAAACCTGAACGAGAGTCTTAAACTCCATCACTTTGCCCCCAGAAGCTGCAGTTTAAAACACACCTGTGGATTAAACTAAACCCAATTTCTGTGTCATTTAAAATCAAACATCTGCCTGATGGTAACACTTTATTTGGAGTGGTCCTTTGTAGATGATCAATAAACTCTCAAAAGGCTATCAATAACATATCAACAACATATGTGTAAATTTGCAGTAATGAAGAACATGAACATTCAAGTGAATATTTTCTTACAGTTTGTAGACGGACAACAGTTCTTTCTGATTAACGTATCGACATGAAGTAGATATGTTGTTTATATGTTAATTACATTAAGTAGACATTTCTTACACTAAGACGTTTTGTTGATACATTACTTACATTAAGTAGATTTTTTGTTGATACGTAAATTACATTCAGTAGATGCTTTGTTAATAAGTTACTATATTAGGTAGATTTTTTGATACATTTAATACATGTTTTGTTGATATTACTTATATTAAGTAGATTTTTTGTTGATACATTAATTACATTCAGTAGATGATTTGTTGACATTACTTAAATTAAGTAGATGTTTTGTTGATGTTACATTAAGTAGATGTTTTGTTGATGTTACTTACATTAAGTAGATGTTTTGTTGACACATTACTTACATTAAGTAGATATATTGCTGATGTGTTTCATTAGGTAGACATATTCTTGGTGTTACTTACATAACAGCTTGTTGAGCACCTAGAGATGACATGTATTATACCTGTTACGTGTTCAGTAACTTCTCAGGTAAACATATACAGTTATGAAAGTGGACACTCCAAATAAAGTGAAAAACAAGTGCATTCAGTAAATTATTAACAGACTTTATTTAAACAGTTAAACAAAATATTTACATACACAGTTTAAAACAGTAACAAATCTTCAATGCATTGTCATTTCAACAGTTCAAAACAAACAAAGGACATGTAACATGTACCTTTAGCATAGGCATATAAAATCCTAAATAGAAATAAAAGTTACAAAACATTTGTGTGTATGTGAGAGTATTTGCAATAGAGGAAGTGTATGTGTATGTGAGTGTGTGCAAGAGAAGTGTGTGTGTGTGTGTGTGCACAACATGAACATCCATTTTACTTAATGTAACAACAAGGCTTCAGACAGGAAGATTAAAACTCCAACTCAAAGCTACACATGACATTAACATACAGGCCTACCTGAGAGAACAATTACTCTACACGAATGTCCTTCAGAAGCCGTCCAAGAACTCCTTTTCTGTGCTTCCTTCCCAGCCAATAGGTCCATTCAATAAACAGTAGCTGATCTTTCAAGGCCTTTTCATTTCGGTTTCCTCGAAGACGCCACACCTCATGTTTATAGGTGTTCCATGCCCTCTCAATGTGTTGGGTATGGTTCCCTGTGACCAGGTCAACAAAGTTGACGCTGTGGTTCACTGTATGGTGGACATATCCCACTTGACTAAGAGTGGAGTATGCACGCCATTCATCACTGATGATTACACTTTGCGGCCTCACATGTTGTTTGATGATGGGAAGAAGAGTCTGCTTGTTTCTTCTTTTGACTAGTCGCAGAACAGGTCTTCTGGAATCACCACGGCTCTCCAAGATTCCAAAAACCCATGTTCTCCTCCTCCAGGTGTTGCCAACACGGTCTCTGGCATACTACATTCAAGAAGAAAAATGTATGATGTATTATTAACATTAAATGACACATTATGTGACACCAGTACACTGTAAAGATTTTTTTTTTAATTTACAGTGGAAATTCTGCAGTAATCTACAGTATTCCTTAAATACAGCAAAAAAATGTGCACTCTGTATAGCTTCTTGTCAAAAAAGTTAAAATACTGAATTTTACCATAATTAGCTGTTATTTGCAGATCAAATGGGGAAATGGCTGGTACTTTGTACAGTCTTGAGCAGCTTGTCTCTGAATATTGTAGTGATGGCAGTGGGGCTTCCCAGCATTTGGTTATGCTCCATTTATATTTTCTTCTACAGTTCATTTCACATGTTTATTTTTTAACCTGTTATTCCTACCTCATATACACCATAGACAAAAATTTAATTTTTTGCTATAAAAACTAATTAATTAAATTAATAAGAAAAATTGGTGCTGTTCACTCTCATTTTTATGTTATACTAGATAATGTGGTAAAACTAAGAAAAACAGGATTACAAAAAAAGAGTGTAGAAATACAGTAATCAGCTGTAGAGAATCAGCTTTAGAATCACAGTAAAGTAATGTTATGGTATTATACAGTACGAATACTGTAAACAAACATGAAGTCGCTACAGAAATTACTTCCAGTAAATTACTGCAATTTTACACTGAATTTATTTTAAGTGTAAGTCCTTCTCAGTTGAATAATTATATATTGTAGTTACTCTGAACATGTACATACACTAAGACACTGCTAAAAAAGCTTATGTTTTTCAAACTTAAAAAAATCATTGTTCTGGATATTCAAGTAAATGTAAGGTTTTTTATGTGCTTAGGTTTGTTGACATAAATTTAGTTATTACATTATCTCTACATGTTTTAAAATGAGTTAAAATTCATGGATTTGTATTTTTAAGTTGTTACTAGAGGGTTACTTGAAAATACCCATAAATCATAATAATTATCATTCTTTGGTGCAAGTTGTGCAGTGGTCTAGACCATGAATTTGAACCTAAAAAACATTAGCTTGAGGCGAGAACACAACAGCAATAATAAGCAAATTAAAAGTTTAGACAAGGGTGACTTATGACCTGCCACACCTTTTGTGTGAATCCAGAGAAGGGAATCTCTTTTCTTAAACATCCTGTTGAAAGCAGTCTGTAGACTTACCTTCCTTTTGTGGCAAAATTTGCTCTCGTCTATATGCACAACAGCATTGATGCCACCAACCCTTTGTCCTCTCCTGCTATATTTTTTCATGCTTTTATTGCATCTCTTTCGCAGTCTCTTGGACATTTTTGAGAGGGTGGCACTGCTGCCTGCAATCCCATCCTGGATCATGTCCACCTGTCTCATTCTCAGACCTTGTGCAAACCTGAATACAAATAAACCAATATGATTCTGCTTCTTCAGATGAGTCCCATATATTTAGTATGTGAACAAGCTGTAGCCTCAGCTTGATGTTTCAAGCACCCCACTAACCCCCAACCCCTACATGATAATGTATGTGATAGTTTTTGTAGCTGACAGTTTTAGTTAATCATATTGCAGATATTCATGTGGAATAGTGACATGGCCTGATCATACCTGTGTATGTCATCCATGTGAACAGGGTAGAATGTGATGTTGAAAAAAAGCTCCCAGTTCTTACGCTCTTTGCTGTTCTGCATGGTGTCTTACATTTCCTATAAATATATATTAAAACTGTTCAAATAGTTGCCAGCTACACTCTGTGGCCATTTTATCAGCAACACCAACCTTAAAGGTGCACATTGTAAGTTTACAGAATCAGCCTTCAAGAATTTGCCTTGAGACTGAAGGAATTGTAATACAATTGTAATTTCAAAAATCATAGGGATGATATGTGAGTAAAATGAATAAGTTTTTTTTATGTATCTTTGACAATGCCACTGCTGTAAACAGAAAAACAAACCTGATAGCAGCTGGACATGGTGGCTGTGCATTAGTGTTAACTGTATCTCTCATATCATGAATAACAGCCAGATACACCATTATTATTAGCCAGGTTAATAACTACATATGATCGCTGTCCAAAAAAAAAAAAATATCCATCATTTCAGCACAGCAGCTGCCCTTCACATTCTGTGAAGATTTCATGATGATTGGACCAACATAAATGCTCCAAAATTGCTTTGAATAAAATAATTTTGCATTTACCTACACTGAAAATAAAGAATTGTTTTGCCTTTATTATTTTGATAACAAGAAAGGCAAAGGATGTGGAAGAGAGCAGTGAGAATTAGTGTAAACAATAATGGTTTAAATAAAAATGATTTAAAATAAATATGTATTTAACTTAAGAACTTAAGAATGCACAATAAATGCAGGTTTACTTACCATATGTAACCATCTTTGCAATTATGAGGGACCATCTTCATTCTTTTCTTGCATTTATTGCATTTCATTTTCCTTTTCAAATGACGTTCCCTCTGCATCCATTCTATAAGCTTCAGTAACGTCTTCTTGATCTCCCTAACATAAACCTTCTGAATCAGCTTATTCGGTAAATTAGCCATAACATAGACGATACGAGCTCCCTAAAAGTGGAATTTAATTTTGGCGGGGACTGTCATGACGTACTGTGGTTCTGGGCAAAAGACTGCAATCGTCCAATCAGAAACACTAACGGTTGTGATTGACAGGACACGCGCCAAGCAGAAGCAGGAACGTAAGCACACAAAGAACCGGACTCACTATTAACCGTTTATGCCAGCCGGGAGATTTTCTAAAAGAAGGGACAACCGAAAGCCTTAAGTGCTGCTTATGTGAAGATAAACATCACGAAAGGTAAGTGTGCATGTTTGGATTGATAGTGTGATTTAAAACTATATCTTTTTTTCTAGTAACATTAAAGCAGCTGTCAGTCAGTAGAGACTAGCTGGCTAATTAACTCATTTAACATTAAGCAGAGCTGTATTTGTGATGTTTGCTGTTTGGAAAAGGCACTCAGGCAGTGAGGTCGTGGTTGTATCTTAACTGGAAAACTCATAATGTTGAATGCATGACATTATTCGCTTAAATAAGCTGTATGTTGACTCTACTTGTGGCCAGCGAATGGTAGTGGGTAAAACCACGTAGGTAGCTAAGCTAACTAGCTAACGTCTTTTGAATCGGTTAGCTAGCAAAACAGTTGGGACTGTGGCGTCGTGGCAGAGAAGAATTAGGTGAGGGCCGTTTTGTGTATTTATTTTACTGTGGGTGTAACTTCATGCTCTTTCTAAGTTGCTTTCTAATATGGAATATTAAGCTAAATGTAAGCATTAATTTAGTTTTGTAGCTAACTCTCCAGCTTTGGTTAACCAGCTAACCTGCTAACGTTAATCTAATTATCTTCAGCTAACGTTAGCTACAGTGCCTTTAAATTAACCTAAGTATTCACCCCCTGTTTTTCATGTTTGATGTTTTAACAACAGTGCATCTCAGTGAATTTAATCAGGCTTTTTGACACTGGCTTACTAAAAAAGACTTTGCAAAATGGAATTCCACCACCTTTTTGTAATTAAATTAGGATGCAAATAGAGTCACTCAGAGTAGTTTGGTGTGAAATGCTCTGTTTTAGAGAAACTTAGCTAACCTAGCTACAACCGGCGCTCGAAACTTGCTGAGTCAGAACTGTTCACAGTGGTGGTGATAGGAACCAGACGTCCACCTCTAAAAGCTCCCTCACCGAAAGCTATTTCATGAAATGGTTATGAATTCACTGCCTGATGACTGAGACACTGTTTTACCATAGTTGTAGAGGATTTTGGCCACAAACATTTTAATGTACATTTTATATACATTCAGAGGAGGGATGCAGAGTAGGGGTGGACACTTTTTCTATTGATATATAACAAATAAAAAATATTTATCAAGTTCATATTTTGTTCATTATTAACTAGATGTCTGTGTACAACACACGCAAAGGACGAGGCAACCCCAAGGATGTGGAAGAGAGCAGTGAGAATGGTAAGTCAATGCAGAAGCAATAAGCAGCTTGTCTTTTAAAAATATTTAAGAATTTTTCGTATTACATTATTTTTTAATCTAGAATTAATTTACATTGGCCCAGTGCACGTTAAACAAACTGTACCCATTCTGAAGTGGCCAAAGCTGCAAAATAAGGCCAAACAAGACATAGTAGTACCTTAATAGTACAGTTACAGGTTTAACTCCTTGTCAGTTTTTTTTCATGTACCTGGCCGTTCATCCCCAGCTTGTGCATCTGTGCGTGTCTTAGAGATAAGGGTGTGACCACTGGATGCCACCATGTGTTTCTGAGCTGCAAAACATAACTTAGTTCATATTTAGACTCCTGTTGCTATAAGTTGACTTAACTCTGTTGCTTTGTTCAAATGCTGTTTTAGTAGGAGGCAGTAAAATCCAGCCAATGAAGCAAGACCTGTTGGTTTGGAAGAATAAAGCAGAACTGTTAGAAAGCAAGGTGAAGGAGCTGGAAGCACATAATGATGAGCTTCGGCAGCAACTGGAGCATCTCAGTGCACAAGGAGGTAGTCTTATTAAGTCATTCACAAAATATTATTTATGTGCAAAACCCTCTGAACCATCTGTAATAGTGCAGGCCCAGCTGCTCTGAATGTTATGCTGATAGAAGCCATTTTTTAGCCCTGTTACTGCCTAATCTGTGTCCCCTGCCTGATTTGTACTGTAATGCTTCTGCCACGTGTGCGTAGAGAACGTTACTTTAACCAGCACCAGCCAGCACTACCCGTACAATCTGTATGATCATATGTGCAAGCGTTTTACGGTAGTTTGAAATTGTAGCTGAACCCTAAGAAAACTGCCATATTCTTCAGTAGCAGTCATTTTTGTAGTTTGCACTCTTCCCTGTTTGGTTGCCTACATAGAGTTTAAAGATATGATTATCTAGCTGAGTGGTTTTGCTTTGTGTAACATTCTTAGCCTGTATGGGTGCTACAGTACCAAAGGTATGAACAGATCTGGGCAAAATATAGGATCAATCTTAAATGGCTTTCTACTCCCTATGTAGTGTACACTACATAGGTCATTATGTAATGGTTTGTACACACAAACGGTGCATTGAATGTCCACATTAAAGTCATTTAAGTTCAGTTAAAGCTGCACAACATCCTCTCTAACGTTTAGTGCACTATTTGGGTATAGAAGCCATGCGTTCACGACCAATGCAGAGCACTATATAAGGAGTAAGAAGACATTTGAGTTTCAGCCACAGACATGTCTTCTTGCTAATCCAAAATGATAATAAGAGCAGGTTTTGATGTACCCCTATCTTCATCCTGTGCTCTAACCTGAAAGTTTTTACCTACAGAAATAATACTAAGAAGTATTAAACTAGGAAAGAGAATAAGACTGCTTATATAGTGGTTTCAGCATTAAATACTCTAAGTTAATCTGCTAATGCTGCATCGTTAAAAGATGTTCATGCGGGGTACAGTGGACACCCTCTTGTTCAAACACAGCTTTTAAATGGCTTTGAAGCAACACGTTCAGCATACAATGCTGAACAGTGGTTGCAAGACTCACAAACCAAAACTAACAAAAGCAACAGCAAAGTAACAAAAATCCTGAGCTGAATTAACGGGAGCGAGAGAATACAATCACAGAGAAGTTGAGAACAATTAACTGTACATGTAACTGTTTAAACAAAACGTTGTATCACCATTTTTTTTGTTTTTTAAATGCCAGTTGATCTTTACATTAATGAATGGATAGAACGAAGTTCCAAAATTACTTAGAATCTTGTACCATTAACTTCTATTCAAAGTTGAGATCCTTCTGTTGTAAAGTTTACCATTGTTCCAACTATATGATTTATACACATATTGGTTGTAACATTTTACAGCCACTGTTGCTCTCATTGGACATGGATGATGAAAATGAGAAACTATGGTCACTCTACACTCTTAAAATAGATGGTTCTTCAAGGGGTTTTTTATAAAGAAAAGGTTCTTGTGTTCATGATTTTTTACATCCAAATAGTGCACTACATGTTGAACATGGGTGTGGCTTGATTCACAAATGAATATTTCTTAGCTATATTATGCAGTGTGGGGTTCAACATCCAGTATTTAAACTGCTCTGTAGTGCACTGTGTAGGCAGCAGGGAGCTGTTTGAGATTCAGCCCCAGTGTGAGAAGAGGGGCATCATCAGATTGGCACAATATAAGACTTATGGTGGTAATTTGGTGGCCACAAGTATAAAAAGGAGGTATAAGCAAACTGCATTAAACAGTGCTATGTTATGTTCATTGCTATATGACAAAAAGTTAAGTTTATAAAATGGCTTATTATTATTAGTAGTAGTAGTAGTAGTATTAGTATTATTAATAGTAGTAGTAGTAGTAGTAGTGATAGTATGGGTGGTTGTTCTGTGGAGGTTGCAGTTGAAATTCAAAGAAGAACAGTACTTAATTAGCTTAGAACTACTGTCCTTGTAGATCATCATTCAAAGACAAAGAATCACATTAAGACAGGAGTGCCTAACTGTCATCCTGGTGATCTTCTGCTTTGGAGATTTTCAACACACCTGCCTCTACTATTCAGATGCTCCTGAAAGCTTTTATTAGATGGATTAGACGTGTTTAGAATGGAGTTGGAAGCACACTTCCCAGGGCAGTAGATCACCAGAACTGGATTTAGACATCGCTGCATTAAGCTGTGTTCAGTGTCTTGGCAGGAGTGATATTGTCACTGATGAAGTGTCACAGCACATTTAGAGTTTTTATTTCCATTATTAGAAGAAATACATATGTTCCAATTAAGCTTATTTTGTCCACTCTTATAGCTTTAACAAAATTCGCTGATTTTTAAGTCTTCATGGTCAAATTTGGCAAATGAGATTAATCATATTACATTTTTTGTTGTCTGTTTTGTTGCTTCTATCAGATAATCAGTATAAACCCAAGAGCCTGGAGGATTCAACTGAGAGTCTGGAGGACTCGAGTGATGATTCATCCTCTTCTGATGAGGAAGACTCAAGTGGGAAAGACTCGCACAAGAAAAAGAAGAGAACCAAGATGAAGAAAATGAAATTCAAGAGGAAAAAGGATAAGCATAAAAGAAAGGAAAAGAACAGGAATAAATGAGGTATGTATATATCATACATCACACTAATCCTGCTTGCTGCCATGTCTTAAATGTGAGAGGGACTTTACAGTGATTTCTATTTTCAATAAGCAAACAGTAAATAGTTTAATAGTTATTCTAAACCTATTGCTGTAGGTTGTTTGTGTTACGTTGATTGTCCTTATGATTTTTTATATTTTCACCTTTAGAATTTATTTGGCCAAATGTGTTTGGTCTTTGATTACTCAGTCTTTGATTTTTTTTATTTTTATTTTTTAGGACTGGGACTATAAGAAATTTTGAAAAATCTATTAATTTGAAACTGGGTATTTTATGGGTATACCTGAGATAGCACAGCAATGGCTTCACAACAACTTAGCACCACCTGAGACAGCACAACAATAGCTTCACAACAACTTAGCACCACCTGAGATAGCACAGCAATGGCTTAACTACAGTTTAACACCGCCTGAGATAGCACAGCAATGGCTTACCTACAGTTTAGCACCGCCTGAGACAGCACAGCAATGGCCTAGTTGTATCAACTTAGCAACCAATTGGAATAGCATAATAATAGAAATGGCCTAGCAACACAGTAAACATCTAACAACCACTAAGCAGTGCCATAACAACAAGGATGAGTACATTAGAAACCTCATAGCAACACCATAGAATTATTGTGTAACCCCAGTTAAGTTTTAAAAGCAGTTTACAGTTGTCTCTAACTGCTTTATCTTCTGAAGCATTATCTCTGTCTTATGATCTGTTTTCTTTAATATGTAATGTGAGCTTATGTCCTGGTTGCTGAGGCACTGCTAGGCAGTTGCTGTGGTATCCCTGTTGGTTGCTAAGGTGTTGTTAGGCGTTTGCTATACTATTGCAGAAGGTTGCAAAGGTGTTGCCAGGCTGTGGCTGTGATATCCTAGGTGGTTGCTGAGGTGTTGCAAGGTGGTTGCTATGCAATCGCAGATGGTTGCTAAGGTATTGCTAGGTGGTTGCTATGGTGTCCCAATATTGTCCATGTTGCTCCTGCGTTTTTGTTGTTGTGTTTTTGTTTTCTATTCAGTGTCAACTGGAAGAGAAAGCCTTCTCCTTTTGAGCCTCTCTAGGTTTCTTCCTCTCATGGAGTTTTTCCTTGCCACTGTTGCCCTTAGTGATGTTCATGGGGGCTTGGACCCAGATTTTCTCTAATGCTGCCTGTGACATCAAGCCTGTTGCCTGTACATGCAAATATATTAGTGATGGGCTGGTCCACATTTTTTCCAGTTCCAAACTGAGTTAGATACACAGATGCTGATACTGATACAGATTGCGATACAAGAGCTTATTTTTTTACTTTAATATTGTCATGTATTGTTATTGTGTTTAAGGTTGTATTTAAGGTGTTTAATCTTCCAATCACTAAGCATGCCTGTAATGGACGCTGCAGCTGAACTGCTTGTGTATGACCCCCTGCACTTTTTTACCTGATTCACTGCACTCTGTAGTGCATATGTTCACCAAGTGTACAGTGACACTTATTAGAGACACTGGGCCCACATCTGAGCTCTAAATATCAGTTTTGAAGCTCATGGCTTTAACATCTAGCTAACTGTGCCGCTAACGGTGATGACACCTGGTTGGACAGTTCAGGTATAACCATCTCTGAATTATATTTTCTGGATGGCAGATGCATGGGCTCTAAGTGCTCCAACAGGCTGTGAATTCTGACATTTTCCACTACAGATAGCTGTTGTTCATCAAGTATGATGAAGTAGAGCAGCTTCTCTGTGATCTCTTTAGCCTTTCAGTTGTCTGTTGGAAGTGTATCACGTTTCTGTAAAGCATGTTATATAATGTTATTTGCTCAGTTAACAGACTGAAGTTGGCGTAGGTTTATGGTAAGATGTGGAATGGAATCTGGATTGGCAACCTGTCTGTTATGTTATGTTACGGCGGGTTCATGGTCCAGCACAAGCTGTGGACTGGAATATGGATCGGTAAGTGGATCGGCCCTGTCCGTCCGATATCCGATGAGTGACCTCAATATCGGACCCGATACTGTTATCAGACCGGATCGGTCCCATCTTTAAAAAATATTTTCCAGATACAAGGCTGGCCTTCTGGTTCTGGTTCTTGGATTCATCCAAGGGGTCAATTCTGCACCAGGTAGTTGCTACGGTGTTGCTAAATGGTTGCTGTGGTATCCCAGATGGTTGCTAGGGGGTTGCTAGATGGTTGCTGGTGGTTGCTATGATATCAGGGTAATTGGGTCAAAGTAACAGTTCCATGCTGGGAGTGGCAGAAAAACAAAAAATCCATCAACATCCACAAAGCATGTGGTAAATACATCTCAGAGCAAAGAAATACCTGGGCACACTGATTTAGCAAACCAATTTAAAAGGAACTAAACAGGTTATGTGGTTAAATCTAGTCTCATGGTGTAACGTGACAGAATCAGCCAGACGTTCGCACATAAGAAGAGTAAAAGAAGCGTTATCCAAAGTCATCCTCAGCAAGGGTCAAATCTAGTAAAGACAAAATATAAAAATAGGTGAACATAACGAACAAGAAAAAACAAATCCAATAGGGATGAGACAAAAGGCAAAGTCAAAAACAGAGTAGAAAGGTGGAACCAGAATGAAATAAAAACATCAGGAAAAGAACCCTCAGTAGCTCGTAATAGAAGCAATACCTTGCTGTCTAAAGCTAAAAGCCCAGGCTTATAAACTGTCATAACTAGGTCATATAGGGCATAGAGCAGGTGCACAGAATCAGTAATCCAGTGAGGCAGATCTCTCATAGGTAGAGTAGGATGATGTCACAGTCATGTGTTCGTTCAGAGGATTCTGGGAGATGGAGTCTTCCAGAGAGTTAGAGCCAGAGCAATGTGTGACAGTCATGTAGACGGGCATAGATGATTCAGTAATGGGACTGCGAATTCATCAGTAGAGACCAAAGTTAGTGCTGAAATATCTAATTTCTAACAGAGAATCTTGGTACATTGCACAAAATGTAAATGAAAACAGAATGCAATGATGTGCAAATGATTTAAACCCTATATTTAATTGAAAATAGTACATAGACAACATATCAAATGCTAAAACTGAGAAATTTTATTGTTACTTAAAAAATATTTGCCCATTTTGAATATGATGGCAGCAACACTTTACAAAAAAGTTGGGACGGGGGCATATTTACCACTGTGTTTCATCACCTCTTCTTTTAACAAGACTCTGTAAGCATGGTGGGAACAGAGGAAACCAATTGCTGTAGTTTTGAAAGCGAAATGTTTTCCCTATTCTTACTTGATACAAAATTTCAGCTGCTCAACAGCTCAGGGTCTCTCTTGTATTTCTCGTTTCATTAAGTGTCAAATGTTTTCAGTGGTGACAGGTCTGGACTGCAGGCAGGCCAGTTTAGCACCCGGACTCTTTTAATATGGAGCAATGCTGTTGTAATATTTGCAGAATGTGGTTTGACATTGTCTTGCTGAAATAATCAAGGCCTTCCCTGAAAAAAACGCTGTCTGGATGGCAGCATATGTTGCCAAAACATGTATATATCATTCAGCATTAATGGTGTCTTCCACGCCATGTGCACTAATGCCCCCCCATACCATCATGAATACTGGCTTTTGAACTGTGCACTGATAACAAGCTGAGTGGTCTTTAGCCCGGAGGATGCAGTGTTCATGATTTCCAAAAAGAATTTCAGATTTTGATTCGGCAGACCCCAGAACACTTTTCCACTTCTCCTCAGTCCATTTTAAAAGAGGCCAAGCCCAGAGAAGGTGATGGCGTTTCTGGGTCCTGTTTATATATGATTTTGTCTTTGCATGGTAGAGTTGCGTTTGTGGATACAGTGATGAACTGTGTTCACAGACAGTGTTTTTCAGAAGTGTTTCTGAGCCCATGCAGTGATTTCCCCTACAGAATCATGTCTATTTTTAATGCTGTTCCACCTGAGGGCCCAAAGATCTCTGGATCTCTCTGGATTCTCTGAATCTTTTCATGATATTATGTACCATAGATGATAAAATCACCGTATGTTCTCTTTGTTCTATTTCCATATGAACATAGAGTTTAAATGATTTGCACATCATCGCATTTTGTTTTTATTTACATTTTTCACAGCACCCCAACTTTTTTGGAAATGGGGTTGTAGAAATACATAACCAGTCATTATAATAAACGCTTTTGACTAGGTAAAAGTTAATTTGTTTGCCATCCCAGCCATTTTCTCTGGGTGCAGAAGTTTTTTTGTGCCACAAATTTCTTAACCAGTCATTAAAATGAAGCTCTTGTTGTCAGTTTAGCAAGGCAGGTTTCAGTTTTAAAATTGCTAATTGTACTGAATAAGAAATTATTTTTTACTTTTTTTCTTTTTGTACATTTTTTAATCTTTGTTTTGTCCTACAGATTTTTGGTATTGAAATAAACAATTTAGCTTAATGAATGCCTTGATAAAAAATGAATAGATGAATTGAATCCTAAAAATTGTTCTTAGCAGCACTATTTTCTTTCTTTGTTATATTATTGCAGTTGAATTTCATAACTCACTGCTGATAATATTTTTAAATGAGGTAGTTAGGGCATTATTGATAATTACTTATAATTAGATATTACTTAATTTTGTTATAACAATAGCCCATAGTATCTTTTTTTGTTAATTGTGAATGTAAAGAGTTTGTATTGTGCTCACTTGTATGTATGCCATACACTGATTTTTAGCCACTTTTAATGTGGTTTTTATGGTTCTATTGACTTACAGGACGAAAACCAAAACAAACAATGCTAGACTAGAGGAACAAATGCTGAAAAATGGTGTAACAGCTTAAATTTTGTATTTTTGCAGTGATCACTGACATCAAAAATTAAGGCAAAATAGGAAAAACACATAGTTTATCTGCATTTCCTAGCTCCTATAGTCTTGAAGGCATCACACTGCTTTATTACACTTACTAATGATTTAAAGGAACTGCTTCCTACACACCATCCACAGTTGTTTTTATTCTCCACACATTTCCTAAAGAAAAAGCGCCATAAAAGCTCAGGGGGTTTCAAATGGCCCTGAAGTTAACATTTGAAGCATGTAATCCATTCAAGTGGCATTTGTATATTGCCGTTTTACCGTGAATCATATCAAAAGTATTTTAATTCAAGTCCCCGATATTAATGATGGCATTGTTTAGCATGTTTGTTATCTTTTAGCCTTTTAGCAAGCTGACCAGCTTAGTTCTAGTTAAGAAGATTGTTAGCCCCTCAGTTAAAAAAAAGACAGCTTCTTACTTCATCAGCACACATTAGGTGGTCCATGCAAGCAGCATAAGATTCAAAGATTGTTCCATTAACATCACACATTTTAGAACTGTAATTATCCATTTTATAAAGGAACTTAATTTCTTGATTATTAATAATAATAATAATAATAATAATAATAATAACAACTCTTGTCTGTCTGTTTTGTTTTCTTTTAGCAAACAACATTGATGATGTGGTGAAGCGTTATCAGAGGCTGCTGAAACACACCAAAAAGGGACTAACCATGACAAGAGCCTTCCAAAAGGAAAAAGTGTCCCGAAATGCAGTGGCCCAGCTGGCTCCAATAGCTGAGCTGTATATTGCTGACAAACAGCAATTTCAATCAGTCCCTTTCAAGGCAGGGAAACTAGCAGAATTTGCCACCAAATGCCAAGAAAAAATAGCAGGAGAATTGAAAGAGAAGATCGATGACATGAAAAAGAATGGTTTGCTTTTGCCATTTAACCTCCCTAAGTGAAATGGACGTTCCTGTTACCAGTTTCAGAAAGTGACGTTGATGATATCTGCATATTTACACTAATACAAACACACCACCCCCTCTCTCTCTCACACACACACACAGAGACACACATTTTGTTTTGTATCTTTTATCTTTTGTCCTAGAGCAGAAGGCTCTCTGTTTGTTTTGAACTGTTGAAATGACAATGCATTGAAGATTTGTTACCGTTTTAAACTGTGTATGTAAATATTTTGTTTAACTGTTTAAATAAAGTCTGTTAATAATTTACTGAATGCACTTGTTTTTCACTTTATTTGGAGTGTCCACTTTCATAACTGTATATGTTTACCTGAGAAGTTACTGAACACGTAACAGGTATAATACATGTCATCTCTAGGTGCTCAACAAGCTGTTATGTAAGTAACACCAAGAATATGTCTACCTAATGAAACACATCAGCAATATATCTACTTAATGTAAGTAATGTGTCAACAAAACATCTACTTAATGTAACATCAACAAAACATCTACTTAATGTAAGTAACATCAACAAAACATCTACTTAATTTAAGTAATGTCAACAAAGCATCTACTGAATGTAATTTACGTATCAACAAAAAATCTACTTAATGTAAGTAATGTATCAACAAAACGTCTTAGTGTAAGAAATGTCTACTTAATGTAATTAACATATAAACAACATATCTACTTCATGTCGATACGTTAATCAGAAAGAACTGTTGTCCGTCTACAAACTGTAAGAAAATATTCACTTGAATGTTCATGTTCTTCATTACTGCAAATTTACACATATGTTGTTGATATGTTATTGATAGCCTTTTGAGAGTTTATTGATCATCTACAAAGGACCACTCCAAATAAAGTGTTACCCTCCATGGCCTGTTCTAATATAATGCTGTAGTACTTTACTGAGGTTCTGTACTAAACTGGAGGAGGTGTTTATCACTGCAGTCTTTCTCAGAATGAGCTGCTCAGTGAAGCTGGAGATGAGCTGTGTTTATGTCAGCATGGGTACTGACTGAAAAAGGGAAACTGTGGTAAACACACATCACATCACATCACACACCTCATCTCAGAAAACCACTCATTCTTCGTTCCCCCTCCCACACTGGAAATACACAACGAATGACATGAGTCAGCTGGTGGTGTCTGTTACATTAAAAACAGCTGTGTGTGCGTGTGCATGCGTGTGCGTGTGTTGTTTTGGTTTGATCTGGTTTTGGTCAGTTAAGCTTTATTCTGATTACACATTGAGAGTGACTCATTTTCAATGCAGCTGGGAATTTACAGCTTAAAGGGATTGTGAAATGAATGAAATAAAATGAAAGTTAATCAGAATAAACTACAATCAGGTTAAACTAAAAAATAAACTGCATGAATAAATTAACAAATAAAAACAACATGAAACAAAAGAGGGTAAGTGTGCCCATTAAGCCCACCAGTGGTCAGGACCCCCATAGACCCTCACAGAGCAGGTACTGTTTGGGTGGTGGATCATTCTCAGCACTGCAGTAACACTGATGTGGTGGTGGTGTGTTAGTATGTGTTGTGCTGGTACGAGTGGATCAGACACAGCAGTGCTGCTGGACAATGAGCATAGAAACAAGGAGGTGGTCGTAATGTTATGCCTGATCAGTGTATATATACACTCAACGCATATACACACTACATTACACACACACACTGCACTCCACACATACACACAATACACTACACACACTACACATACACAACACATACACACTACACTACAAATCTACCCACACTACACTACACACACTTTTTAACTGTTTACCCATTTCCTTTGTGAACAAAACTGAAGCTTCTTAAATATCTCATCAAGTCTGAGTTAGAGGTCTGGACCAGGCAGGTTCACCTGCAGGTCCCACGTGATCTGCTAAATAATTTGCGAGCGGAATTCATTTTGAAGCACCGTGGCTATTGTAGATAAACAGTCAACAGGTTGCGGGCTTGTGCGGGTGGGTGTTAAGGCTGGCTGAGTGGGGCGGTTTTAGCTTCAGTCTCTGTTTTAGCTTCAAATTAATTTCAGCTGACTTGCAGACGTCTTTTAGAGCAATTAGCTAACAATATAACGCTGACACAATATTCTTAAAAAGTGATGTCAAGCTTGTCTGTCGACACTGACGTCATGTAATGTCCCGCTCATTGTGTGGTGCCACGTTAAGGTTTACATGGTGTTGATTTGCCTCAAGTACACAAAATATTTTCAACAGTGAAGCGTTTATTTGTGCGGCTGGTGTGCAGAGGCATGATGGGTCTGGAGACTCTGCCGTGTCATTAGATTTGCACAGATATGTCCTAAATCAGTGAAGCAGGTTACAGCAAACGCAGGCGGGAGTGGACGACGACCACAAACATAGCCCAGAGTAGGTGGGTGCAGGTGGGCATTGCATGTGGTTGAAGCGGGCCAGTACGGGCAAAAATGGTGCCTGGTTTTGTGGGCAGGAGTGGACAAGAATCACACTAGATTTTGCGGTCGCAGGTGGACGTGATTAGTGGTTGAATCGGGCAGGAGCGGGTATTAATAATCAGACCTCTAGTCTGAGTTATTGTTTGTATTTGTTTTATGAATAAGTAAGATCACAGGAATCTTACTGGTACTTCATCTCTTTTACAGTAAACAACTTTACCTACCAAATCTGAAACATCACACTGGCTGAACCCAGCGCTGAAATAAATCCTTGCTGTTCTGTAATGCTAATAATATTAAAGGCACTACATTTAGCACAATTGTTGCTCCTGTTCATTTATAGAAGCATAACTGAGCCTTTCATGCTGTATTTTTCAACTTGTTTCTAAAAGATCAAGTCACACATTACACAGCAACTCAAATATCACAGGGCTTACAACTTGGCAAACCTCAACAATAAGACTATTTAAGAAGGTCTCTTAGAGAAGCACAAGACCCTGATACACTCCACAGCACCGTTTCTTCACCTTGCTCCCATCACGCCACACATACAGAACAATAGCATGTAAAAAAGCCCACTTTGCAAAAAGTTTTATATCTTCACTCATATCAGCCTCTAACAAGCTACTCCACTTAAAATGATGCTTCACAATGCCTACTTTTAAATGCAGTAATGGGCACACAGGCCCTGTCAGAATCAGAATTACTGGGCAAGGATTTGGTTCCAGCCACTGGTGTCTCTAATCTTAAATGCAATTCACAATATGTGACATATACAGCACACGAGCAACATGAGGCTGTATATTTATAAACACACTTCTTTACAAAAACTGATGACACAGTGTCGGTCACTTTGACTAGGTTGTCAGTTGCAGCTTCAAGAACACTCCAGATGGTATGCTGGTGCTTTATGGGTGGGGCTGCTTGTACTTAAGTCTGATTTTATGTTTATATAAATGTATTTATACATTTCTAATGTCTGACTGCTGTTTGTCCCAACACAATGTACAAATGGTACAGACTGTGAAAACAGTGTCCTCTTTGGAGGACAATAAAAGAGTCTAATCTAATGTAATAATAATCATAATAGTGATGTATAACAGTGAGTACTGTACAGTGTTGTGATTGTGGTGTAACACTAAGTCACTATTCTGCACTGAGAGCTCCGAGCTCTTCATAGCGGGTCTGACATGTTTGTAAACAACGGTTCAGCAGGAGATGAAGTAAACAAAGCGCTGTGTATTTACCACATAAACAGCGTTTAACTGCGCTTTAAACTCAACACTAGTGTGGTGTAGCAGTGCTATCTGCAGATTACTCACCCTGTAGCAGTCTGAAGTCTGGTTTTCTGTTTTATCTTTCTTTGTAAGTGTTACTTTAAATGTCAGCTCAGGACGTGTGAAGTACAGAGAGAAGTACAGCTTGCAGCACAATAGGGTCTGACTGCAGACCTGCACTCACGTGCACATGCACTCTCTGCCACCACAACAGGAAGGGCCCAATGGCTCGGGGACTTTTGGCTGCTGCTGCTGCTGCTTAGCGACATCAACACTTAATCCTTTTTTCATCCATACCACAGCTAGAGAGTTACATTTAATGCACCTCCCTGTTGAAAAAAATGATAGAACCCATTAAAAGTGTCTGTTGGTTCCTGGTGGTTTTCAGTAGTCGCTAATGGTGTTCTGTGTTTTCCTGATGGGTTGATATCACAGTGTAAAGGATTCTGATCGTTTAATCAGGTCTTCTGGGGCTGATTCCACATTTGATCGTTTCCTAATGGCCTCTAACGGCAACCATCAAGCCAATTCCTGTTAGGAAGCAAAACCATCAGGTTTCATTCCTAACGGCCCTGCAGACACAGTTACGTTGTGACCCGCAGCGTCGTCTGCTTGGAGCTTTTCTACACTGTCACAACGTTGAAATGTGATTCCTCAGAAAGTTGTGATGACCTTGTCTGACAACTGTCTAGGAGGTTGTAACAACACTGAGAAGACGTTGTTATGAAGTAATCGGTACTACATTGACTTATGTTGTTACAACCTCATAGAGTGCAGGTCAGGCTGAGAGCGCAAGTCTGCAGCCAGACCCTTCTCGCTTGGAGGATCCTTCACAACATAAACCCCCACATTTAATAAACACATCAACACAACATCAATTACTGCTGTAATTCTACAGGAACTACTTTTCCTTCTACTCCTCATGAACACACTCAGTCTCAAAGTGGGTCTGTTATATTTTATATAAGGTTCTCCTGGTTCAAGTTTCCACTGTACAAAGATCCCAAAGACTTCCTTTCTATGTACACGGCAGACTTTAGTAGCCCTAACTAATCCTGGACACTAGTTATTGTCTAATTCACAAATAAATTAAGAA